CTGGTGGGTGGTGATCATCGTTGGGGTGGCAGTCGAGGATCTGGCTGGGTCCACAGCTCAGTTGGGGAGCGGGTCCAGTTCGGCCATCTCTTAGGCCTTGAGACGCTTCGGGATTTGTTGGGGGGCCCCAAGACAACTTCACTTGGGGTATGCATCTTAGGATAGGTCGTCAGCACCGGTGGGCCATCAAAGAACTCAGCTGTTGGGGTTGGAGGGTTTGGAACCGCCGCCATTGTACAACAATAAAGCCCCTACCACCAAATGCTGTGTTCGTTAACGGATAATGAACGTGACCTTTGACCTCCTTTGTGAATATCAAGCTAAGTCCTAAAGACATAGGCTTAAACCTGGATTCTCCGCCAAAAAAGAGAGAAAAAAATGTAACCTAGAAAAATAGCACAGTGCGACTGAATGGGGAAAACTCGCAAACCTGGACAAACTAAGTATTTTTAGTCCCCATTACAGTATAACTCTGTCCTTTATTGTGGTTTCCCCTCTTGCACAAATTCTGTGACATTGAAATGTGGTATGATTCGGATAGCAACTTTCCCTTCTGCAGTTCCTCCGCTTTGTTGTTTTCATATTTTATTTCACAAAACCCGCAATGTATTTCTCGCACCATGTTCATTTACATTCTGTCTCATTAATTCATCGTCAAAAGGTTTTAGCTCCTCCCAAACTCAATATTCAAGAGTCTAGTTTCCGCCTCACTGTTATCAGAAGCTCTTGCGGGCAAAAAATTGTTCGAGAACAGTCTCTTTGCATTACGTGGTATACCGTACAATAAACCAGTGATGAAACGCCTTCGTTAACTTTCAAAACGTAGTGAGTACCTATTAATCTCCATTATAGACTGAATAGGACATTGCATCCAAAACGCGTCCTGCGTATGTGTATTTTCAGGAGGGTAAATAATAAGCGTTGTTGACGTTTCTGTTGAATGGAGTTACAAACAAGGGGATTCGAAGCCTTCAACACAATGAAAGAAGCTTTGTCTACATAACCAATTATTCGTTTTCAGTTAAAAACTGACTTTTTATGCCGGAAGTATTTGTTAAATATAAATCTTTAAGTCAGGTTGTGCACCGCATGTCGGTTTTCAATAAAAATTTACTCAGTATATTAAAGAATTTTATTTGGTACAATTTTTCCCGAAAGTGTGTTAAATTAAAATCATTTTATTGACGATTTTTTTTTCAGTGTTGGCTCATCGAAACCAGACGAAAAACACGTGGACAGTTTGGACATCATATTTACTGACAAAACCTATTGCATGTCCTGGTGGAATTCTCAAAGTTTTACACACTGAACAAAATCACGATTGAACCGACCCAGCGTGAAAATATTGCTAAAGCAAGGCCGTAGACAATAGGTGTTAAAAATGAATTAAAAACACAAACACATACAAGTGTGTGTTTCCTGCAACTGGGGACCCCCTATTGTTCCTCTTTTGTTTGTATTTTAACTTTCTTAGAAGACCACCCATATGTTTTGTACACAGTTGTCAATCGGGGACCCTCTGTCAATCGGGGACCTTATTGTCCTCTATTGTTCAGGGTCCCCAACTGAATGCAGAAACAAACTCACACAAAACAGGTTAATATATACAGGTTTATATTTGGCTTGTTTAGTTATTTAGTGTAGTGATATTTAGTGTAGTGCAACCCGTAAAGACAAGATGGCAGCGCCCATTGCAACAGACCAAAAGGGAGCGCCCTGTTCTGTTTTTAGTGCTTTTTTATTTACGGGAGGAGAAAATGGGCAGTTTTATCTTTGAAAGTTGTCAAAACAGAAACGATTATAGCCAAAGATTAGAGGAATGTACACGGTGTCTCTTTGGAGGGGTTATTGACTATTCTGGATTTTTACAATAAGAGAGGCCATAATCAGTAGGCATCATAGAAATATTTCTATAAATCGCGAATTTGGGACTGATTGTTTCCAGTTCGGGGCATTTCTTTCCTAAAAAGCCCGAAATTGCAGACCTATTTTGTATAGAGGCGGGCGGCTACATTCAGAAATGAGCGCTTAGTTTAATTGCTATTTTGGGGGTATCTTGGTGCAAAGGCAAGTGAAAAAAAATTTCGTGGCTAACCCCCATGAAAATGAAACGAAAATTCATTTTCTGGCCGTAATCATACATTTCCAGTGAAAAAGCGGAGGCCAACCTCTTCACAAGAGTCAACAAGCGGCGCTAAATGATTTCGGTCCTATTTTGCACTGTGTTATGGGTGCGTATTGGTGTAGGGCAACCGCAAGCAGAGCCGGAGTTGCGGTATCTAGGAGAAGTCCGCCCTCTCTTGGTCAAGCTCGTTAACCCGCGGGCCGTGCGAATGGTGAGGTACATGTAACCTCTAGCATGTCTAGTTTGTGCGCCGGTGAAAGAGTCGCGGGATTGCCTAAATAATGACGTCTGTTGCAAATATCAGCGATGCTAAGTATACGTTCCTGCACTTAGACGGCAAAACCTGTGAAGCTCTAAACGCTAAGAATATCCAAGATCTCTTAATGAAATGGTAAGTTAATGAAATGGTCATTACCATCGTAACCGGTCACTTCGGCACCTTGCCAACTCGGCACCTTGCGAACTCGGCACCTCGTCAGCTCGGCACCTGTACGAAAACCAACTCGGTACAGGTACATGTACCTTGCCAACACGGCACCTCTCAAACATGTCAAACTCAGCACCTACACACAGGTGATACAGTACTGATACTGTTAGGATGGAATTTTCTCTCAAAAGTCAACGATAATTATTACACCCCAAAATGGATTAGAAAATAATGTTCACCCAATACGCTTTACTTTGATTCATAGGCCAATATGTACATGTACATGTATCTCAAAGACCTTGAACTTGAAGAAATGCATTTTAATTTTTTTCGAAGTAGGCCTACAGTATACGCAAGGTTTCTGGAAGTAGGCCTATTGCTGGTTCGGAATATACATGTACACTTCCAAGTCTTTTGACAAGAAAAGTTCAAGAAAAGTTTCCAAAAGACATACTGTAGCTGTTTTCTCAAATGAGTCTTTTCGAGTGGGTGCCTAGGCCTAGTCCACAGGGGCAACTTCCATAATGAGCTTTCACAGAATTGCAAAGATAAAGCAAGGGTTATTTTTCTCTTTTTAAAATTAAAATTGGACTTTAATTTCAAAAATGTGTTTCCTTCAATCTTCCCTTTTAGTTTACGTAAGAAACTCGTTTTTTATGAATTTCTTTGTTGAACAAATTTGGTTACCACAATCCATGCGGATTACCCACTCTCCAAATCAACCAAAATTAACTAGGCACATGTACGGCATTAGAACCAATTGATTCGGTTCGAGTTCCGAGTTTGTCAGGTGCTGAGTTGGACAATGCAGACCGGAGGCAACATTTGAGGAGCCAAGTTAGCAAGGTACCGAATTGACTGACATTCAATTGCATTATCACCCTGTTCTTATAATAAGGAAACAAACTAACGTTTTAACCTTAAGGAACTATTACTCAATCCTGACAGACTTACATGTAGTTTAGGTAAATTTCGGCAACATTTAAGCAAGAAAACTTCAAATTTCTAACCCGAGTTTGGTAAAAGACAACCACTCAGTCAAATCATGCCGTTTTATGTTTCGTCTGGTTACCCAACTCAGGCATTTTGGATTCATCAAAACAAATCTCCATCCAGGTTAAGGAACCAAACTACATGTACATTCACTTATTTTCCGTTCACAGCTCTTCAGAGTGGTCATGTACCCTTCCGTTTTACCCAAAAATTTCCCTTAAAAACCAAAAGCCCTGTTCTCTTTCCTTTCTGATATGAAAGAGGACATCACCGACAACTTGTTAATAGTTAAGTTGTTTCAAAAAAGTAAAATTTTGTTCCCTTATAACAGGAACTGGTACTAAAGGTAATGAACCCCACTAGTACATGTACATGTAGTAGTAGTACTTACATGTAGCTCTCAAGTAGAGTGTTAGTATTCCTCCTCTTTTGATTTTGGATGGGGTCGTCATACTAACGCTCCATGCCCGTACATATAGTAAGGTTGAAACGGTTCTCAAAAATTCAAAGACTCACCAAAAATACCTCTTTCACCACCTACTGGTCCGGAAATACCAATGTCAAACTGTTGGGCCTTCAGTGATATTTCTGACTTCAAGATCTATCAAAAGCCAACCATTTTTCGCTCAACACACGCACAGCACTTGAACTTTTCGCTGCCTGTACCATTCAAATGCGCTTTTCAAGATTTAGAACATGCAATAACTCTATGGGCAAAACATGGTCCTCCCAGAAACACACATGAGTGGCCCATACATGTACGTGGTCTGGCTTACCCACAGAGCAAGATTTTTAACATATCTCTGTCAAATGGTCGAGTGCCAGCTGAATGGAATTAGTCTGTTGGTGTTAGTGCATGGTTGAAACCTTGCTACATGTTTATCTCCTGAAGTATATGTCCAATTGGGTTCAAACCTTGCAGATATCTTGAAAAGGTACTGATTTAGATGAATATTTACCTCATGTGAAAATGACCTTGTTAAGTGACAAATCATGTGACATTAAAGGTGCATACTTTAAAGTACTACATGTACATCTCCAGATGTACATGTATACGTCCAGTTGGTTTCAAACCTTGCAGATATCTTGGAAAGGAAGTGCTTTAAGCAAACATTGACCTCATCTGATGATGGCAAATCATTATTTGTCAAAAATCTCCCCGAAAGGCCATTTAATTTGTGCACGTTTTTTCTGGCCACCACTTTAGTGCCTAAACAATTTCCGAATGTCATTAAACTTACACCAACGAAGGACCCTTATGCATAGATGTGCATAGAAGCATGACGTCATGATGACGTCATCAAGTGATTTTTATTGATTTTTCAATATTTTTTTCGGCCCATTCACTTTTTACACGTTTTTGAGGCACAGTTTTGGTCACTTAGCAATCTTCTATCATTATCAAACTTACACCCATTCACATACAAAGTATTTTCCAAATTGATGACGTCATCATGACGTCATCATATGATTTGTTATGCATTTTTAAACCTTTAAATTTCCCCACATTTTTCTACTATGCACTGTTATCGAGTTTATGAGTGAGTAGTCCTCAACTTCGACCCCAGAATTACTACCAGAATTACTACTCCAAATTATTACAAGTACATGTAAATGACGTCATGATGATATCATCATGTGATTTAGAATTGATTTTTCAATATTTACTTCAGCCCATTGACTTTGTACATGTTTCAAAACCACCATTTTGGTAATTTGGGATGTTTGATTATCATTAAAGTTACAGACAACAAAGACCTTGATAAAACTTTTTGGCTTAATTTATGACGTCATAATGAAGTCAACTACATGTATTTGTGAATACTTTACTTTCCACTATAGACTATGTAGATGTTTTTCAAGAGCCAGTGTTTGATACTCGTGTCAATCTGATTGATTTATGTAACATTCATGAAATGTTAATATCTAGTATTCATTCTGACATTTTCATAGTTATATTACATGTATACATGTAGATAACTACATGTACACTCAAGAAAGTTAACATTAATTATACGTAAGGCCTTTTCTGTAATTGTAAAATTCTATTGATGACCAACACAACTATTGCCTCATGCAAGAATTCTATACAAAATGTACGGTAATATAAAGGTGTTGTATAAAACTATTAATGCCGGTACATCTTGGGGAAAAAACCATTTCATTTTAGAGATCCTACCTACATGTACATGTATGTTTCTCGATATAACAGTGGCAATGTGATAAACGTGCTATTTCCATCATCACATGTATACACTCCAACATCAATGTATACACTCAAATATTTGATACAGTCTGTTTTTGTAATGTTAATTCCATCCACATTGACAGCAGGAAGTTCCTGATAGTGCCTGAATTACTAAAAAAACATGAAATTAGTTTTTAACATTAAGAGTTGACTTTTTAGCTTTAATCTAATAGATATAGACAATGATGCTCTAAAGGAAGATCTTATTAATGCACCATGGCAACTTGTCGTAAATTGTCATGACGGCAATGAAGCATGGTCTATTTGGCATTCTTATTTGTGAGCATTATCAATTTCCACACACCGATTAAAACTAAACATATTAGGGGTGCCTCCTAACACTGGCTTGATGGGGAAATTCTTCGACTTATGAGGCAACATAATCATTTGCACAAAATCGCCAAACGCACAGGTTCACAAATACATTGCGTTTCTTCCAAAATCTGCGTAACGTGGTGACTAAGAAAATATGTAAAAAGAAAAGCGAATACTTTACATCAGCTATACAAGAAAACAAAGCAATTCATGTACAGTACATGTATGTTATGGAAAAAGCTAAAGGAGGTTCTCCTGAAGAATCAGAAAAGTGTTCCAAACTCCATCCTTTGTCCAAAAAGGAGAAGACATTGACAATCCTATTGACATTGCTGATATATTTAATGACTACTTTTCTATTATTGGAAAATGCAATAGTGGTAATGGCCTCTTGTACAAGCCTGGAAAAGACAATAATACTAATGCTCCTGTCTATGACTCCCTCAACGATGAATGCATGATACCTCACATTACAGAAGAATTTGTTCAAAAGCAAATATCATCAATGTCAGTAGGGAAATCAACAGGTCCGGATGGGAGAAGTGTTAAAATGATCAAAATGGCTTCCCCATGTATTACCAAATGTCTAATTCATATCTTTAACCTCTCCATCACATGTGAGAGATATACCAAAGACTGGAAACATGCTCAGGTGACACCAATTTACAAGGAAGAAGAAAAATGTAGTATAAGCAATTATCGTCCTACATGTATCTCTAAACTGCCAATTGTCCCTAAAATTTTGGAGAGGTGGGTGCACTCATCAGTATACACTTACCGGTACCTTGGAAAAAATAACCTAGTTCCTAGTTGCCAGTCAGGATTTAGACCCTCGCACTCAACTGAAACCACCCTACACCATTTGACAAACAGGTGTTTCCAGGCTATGGAGCATGGAGAAGTTACAGGTTGTGTATCAGTAAAGCATTTGATCATGTTCACCATGAAATTCTTCTGGAAAAATTGAAAAGGCTTGACATGTCTACTTCACTAATCGGTTGGTTTAAATCATACCTACATGTACATGTAGGCGATCATAGTCAGTCGGTAAATATTGAGGGCAACATAAAGGTTCTGCCACTAACCGTTGGTGTCCCACAGGGTTCGATATTAGGACCGCTTTTATTCATTGTTTACACAAGTGATCTGCCATCCTGTATACCACCAAATTGTAACTTGTATATGTACATGTACGCAGATCTGACTCCGCTTTAACGTGCAGCTCTTCCAATATTAATGAAATAGAAAGGAATCTGAATGTAGCTCTTGACAGAATTCTACATTGGTGCTCAAGAAACAAACTTGAACTACGTGTAAATACAAACAAAACCAAATGCATGCATATTGGCTCAAGGCAGACAACCACCAATACAGAATTGAACCTCTACATTGCTAATAGCCTAACAAAGAAAAGTCTTCCAAATGCTTGGGAGTTATTATTGATGAAACACTACCAGTAAGTTGGGGCCCACATGTTGATTGCATAAGAAAAACATTCTCATGTAAATTAGGTAAAGTACATGTATGTTAAACATTTCCCATTGCCAAGTTGTTTGGTACATGTAATGTATGTCATTAAAATCAACAAACTTTTATGGTGGAAGTGTAAGCAAATCTGGATGACGTGGATTAACATGGATATTATCAGTTATAGACACACATACATGTACATGTACATTGTACATGTACACGTATCTGGATTGCATGATTAATTAAGACATCCTGGTGAATACCATGTATTATAAATGTTTGTACATTGTAGGTCAATGAAGGGCAGGATGAGTGTACAGTACTTCAGTTATGATGCTGCTTTCCAGTCATACCAGAAAGAAGCTTTTGCCCTGGTGAGTGTGTGCATGCATTAAGCAGTTTTCCCTCCATAACTTGAGAAGGACTTGAAGTCTGGATATCAACTTCAAACTTTGTACACATACTTGTAAATGTACGACGTATATTGGTTAATCACAATGTCCCCATGAGTCTACTGTCAGCAGGCCTCAATCAACCTTAACCACTTGATGCTGGGGGCTCCGGTACCGGAGACATACATTGTACATGTAAGCCTTATATTCGTGGCTGAGGTTTCCGAAATTGGAACTTTATTTAAAAAAAAAAAAGTTGCTGGGCATTTTTTAAAAAGTTTATTGCAGTCAGTTAAAAAGTTTAGGCCCTCATTGGAGGTAAATAAATTGGTCTGAGGCAATAATGGGTTGCTGGGGCCAGAGCATTGGGACTTTATTTTATAGCCGGGGTGACCAAACTTATAAAAGCCTGTAATAAAATTACGAGCTGCTGAGAGCTGCTGAGAGCTTCCGGGCACTGCCAATCAATCCCCGTATTCTTTCAGTGCAGAGCACTGACATTAGCAGAGGTAATCCGTGTATTGTTTGTGCAGAATGCTATTGTTCGCGCTGCCGGGCGCTCGTAGCGGATTATCACTGCACTGCACTGAAGACAAAGTGCGGGCTGTGCGGGCTCATTATGCACCTGTGCCCCATGAATGACCCGGACCGGGCGCTGCTGGCCCTTGCCACGTTGACTGACAGGGCTCGGCCCTCGCTGCTTGAGAATAAAATCGCCGTGCAGTGGCTACATGTGTGCACATTGGGTATCGTGTTATCTGAGCACAGACAACATGGCTGAAGTTATATCCAGAGAGTCCGGTTCTTCCAGTGAAAGCGAGTTTTATCTGAGTTCAGACGAAGGTTCTTCGTCTTCTTCATCACTGCCGTCACGTGCTCAAATACGGTCAAGTACAGAAATTGACAGTGATGTACCCTTGGCGATATATGCCAAGTGCAAGAGACAGCCCCCTACACAGACCGCCGCGTCGACCAGCAGCAGTGCCGCACCGTTCCGGTGGACAGATGAAGACAGTACACCGCTGAAGTACGGCTTCACCGGTAATGATGGTGCCGTCGATCCCCGCCTGCATCGCAGCTCGACCTGCAGTGAAGCCTTTGAGCTGCTTGACTACATTTTCTACAACAAGATAGTGCAAGACACCAACCGGTATGCCATGCAGAGGCCCGCTACGACATCGGCACACATGCGATCATGGACTGATCTGAACACTAGAGAACTGAAGGCATTTCTGGGCCCTTGTATAATGACAGGCATTGCGAAGCACCCCACCCTTCATAGCTTCTGGTCACCGACCCACTACTGAAGATGAGCCTATTCCTGTCCGTCATGCCCCAAGATCGCTTCCGTGCCATCCTGCAGTCCCAGCACTTCGACGATTACACCGCCATGCTGGAGGACTGCACTGACCGCCTCTTCAAAGTGTGCCCAGTCGTCGACCATCTTGCTCAGAAGTTTGCCACTGTCTACATTCTCGACGGGACATTTCCATCGACGACTCCCTGTTGAAGTTCTACGGGCATCTCTGCTTCGCTACCTACAACCCCAGAAAGAGGGCCTGCTTTGGCATCAAGGTGTGCTATTTGTGCCAGAGCACCGGGAGTGCCGCCGGATACTGCTACAACTTCAAAATCTACACCAGCCAAAGTAAAGGAGACCTCTCAGCAACTACACAAGTCTTGAGGTACCTAAACGGCAAGGGCTACAACCTTACCCTCGACTGGGCCTTCAGCAGTCCTGATTTGTTTCGACGACTTCACAACCAGAAGTTCAACGTCGCCGGCACCATCATGGCGAACAGAAAAGGGATGCCGAAAAACCTGCAGTCTATCAAGCTGAAGAGGGCATCAGCGGTTCTCTCCAGGCCATGGTGTGGCAAGACAAGAGCAACACCCGTGCTCTCCACCATGCATACGGCACAATATCCGTATGCTCTCCACCATGCATACGGCAGACATCCGTGGCTCCGGCAAGCAAGACAAGATGGGGGAGGAAAAGCATAAACCGACCTGCATCGTCGAATACAACGCCCTGATGGGGGGCGTTGACAAGAGGGACCAACTAGCGGCAAATCATCGAGCTACTCGTAAGTCACTCAAGTGGTACAAGAAGCTCTTCTTCTACCTGCTCGACTTGACGCTGGTGAACAGCTAAGCCGTGTACCTGGCCGTTGGTCACCACCTCTCCTTCCTCGACTACCACTTGAGTCTTGTCCGTGAGCTGCTGTTCGATGAGCCCTTGCCGGAGTACCGCCCCCAGCACGATACCCCACCAGTCACCAACTCTTGCTTCGTCGGCCGACACTTCCCTGTGGACTTTGAGAGAACCAGCTATGGCGACTTATGCTACCGGCGGTGTGTCCTCTGTGCTTCCCGTGGTCTGCGAAAGAAGACACACTTCGAGTGCGACACGTGCCACCAGCCCCTCTGCATCGCCCCCTGCTTCAAGGAGTACCATACTGTCCACTAATTGACACTTTGAACATTTACTTTCATGGACATTTTCATGGACATTATTTTTGTGTCTTTCATGACTTGATGCCCCACTTATCTGGTGTAAAACAATATATGTCATTTACTGGTGGTTTTAGGAGTTGTCATAATTTCATCCCTTGAAAAAAATGACGAAAATAACAAGTTTACTGAATGTACAAGTTTTAGGACATGTTATATTTTCAATCCTTGAATAAGAAACAAAATTCCTTGTAATGGTTTTACTAATGGGTCATATATTCAACCCTTGAAAATGACAAAAGAGACAAAGTTTCTGGAAAGTACTGCTTTGAGGATGTTGTATTTTCATCTCTTGAAAAAGTGGCAAATTTCCTTGTAACTGTTTTACTAATTGGTCATGTTTTCAACCTGTGAAAAAATGACAAAAAAAGAAAGTTTCTGGAAAGTACTGCTTTGAGGATGTTGTATTTTCATCTCTTGAAAAAATGGCAAATTTTCTTGTAACTGTTTTACTAATTGGTCATACTTTCAACCTTTGAAAAAATGACAAAAAAGACAAAGTTTCTGGAAAGTATTGCTTTGAGGATGTTGTATTTCATCTTTTTCATTCCTTGCACCGGTGCCTTTTTTATGAGTTTTGCTTTTTATTTGATTAGAAAGAGTGGAAATTTATTTTACTACTTTTATAAGTTCAACTATTTCAATGAGAAATGAAAAGAAAACACAAGAGAAATGACAAGAAGAAAGTAAGAGAAAAAGAAGTTCTCTCCAAATATTTGTCTGCGTGTATTTCTATGTGTACTTGATTTTATTGGTTTCTAAGATTTTACTTGAAATTGTTGGGGAAATAAGGTTTGGGAAGGGAAATATCCATTTTGAACTAAAACTTACACTATGGGAGGGAAAATGAACAAGTTGGGAGATAAAATATGAGAGTGGTTTGGGGGAGATATAAGTTTGGTAGATGGGAAAATATATAACAAAAAAACCCAATAGCTTCAAAAAATAGCGAAAGTTATATGCAGCAGTGCCGCAAAAAAACCACACTTTTAGACCCCATTTTTTAAAAGCATGATTCATTTGTCGGTCATGGCCCACACTCATTGAACAGTTTACAAAGCCCAGTGCATGTGAGCACAGCTTCCCATTCACTCACCGCATATTATAGGCTGAGGTCTTGATGGTCAATTGCTCTGCATAGCAACACGGCAGTATACATGTAGCAACGTGCTGGACCAGGGCCCGGAACAAAAGTGCCCTTATGTAACACTACACAATGGGGGCTCTATACACAGCGGGCGGCGTGGCTGCAAAACTGAAGGGTCAATGGAAGTTGCTTGTGAGGGCTAAACTTGCCATGAGAAAGTCATTTTATGGGGTTTAGGCATTCAGAAAAAAAAGATATGAATTTTTGAAGATTTCTGCAGCGCGTATAACAGGTAAAAAAGCACCCAGCAGCAAGTGGTTAAACAGTGGCAACGAGTGGCCAGTGCTGTGATGTTCAATGCACTGGCTCTGAAAACTTCATTCCATGTCCCAGTTGACTGTGAGCATTTCCCATCGAGCAAAATCTGCCAAACCTGTCCTACATGTATGTTGCCATGCATTTGCTGCTGTAAAGCTCTTGATCGGCAGTGCAGTATCACTGGGTGCCCCCAGAACTGTGGGGTCCGACGTCTGCCCCACTCCCACGAATTACATTGTGTACATGTATGCATTCATTATTTGTGGGAGTAGGACAGATGTTGGACCCGACAGTTCTGGGGTAATGTCTGGTCAGACTACTGTCCATTTATGCAGCACAAGCGTAGAACATACATGTACATGTACATGTCTGTGGGATCATGTCTGTGGCCAACTCTCCACCTCTCCACATGCATGAGGGGGTGCATGTCGCGGAACAGAAATATAAATATGACTTCATGCAATGAATTCAAGGCCACACCTTGTTCATTAACAATAATCATTGAGTTCAAGAATAAATAAAACAAAAATCAGTGCATCTCATGAAATTGATGTCGTTTCTTGCACTTATTGGTTTTTCTCCCCACAAGTCAAATCTCAAAGCTGTTTGTACGAAGTTTAGTGGACAGACAGGTGCATCAAAATCATACATGTACATGTATGCAATACGTATCATACATGAGACATGCATGTGAAACACTCTTACACTAGTTCCCACTGCTAAATTGCAAGAACTACTCTATAGTTAGGCCTATTTGCTTATCTTAAACTAATCAATCATGGCAACTTATATTTTATTTTTAATGTGATTTCCATCTTCCCACGTTAGGTAATCCAGTACCCACAGACCCTCCAAGTGGTGCTTCTTCCTTCACAGGTCATTATCAACACTCCTTCAAAAATAGGCCTTTGTAGCAAATTATCGATACAAAGAGCAAAACTTGACCACAAGAACCTTCAGTTCTAGTGATTTTTTTTTTCCTTCAGAAAATATTGAAATGTAACTTGCAGGCTGAGGCATAATTTCATGTTCAGTCTTCTCATACCGTGTACATGTATACATACATACATACATGTGTAAGGGTATTTAAACAGATTAAACCCTGTCTTTCATCCACAAATATTAAATTGGCCTTAGTGCCCTTTAATGTGGCTGTGATGCTGTAATATATTTAAGGCACTCGAGGCCAACTGGCCTTGCCCTTCAACAGTTTAAGGTTGAGGCCTATACTGCAAGTCAAAGGTGTACACAGGTTATTACCACCATTATTTGACAACTTGATACAGCAACGTCTGACTTGGCTTGTGGGTTAATTTTGTTTCCGCAGGAAGCCTAATAATTTGGACCCTATACTGGTAGGTCAAAGTCATTAAAACAAAGTTTTTCAACCTTTTCAGGAGAAAACCTTTGGATGTAAAGATAAAACTTACTACATGTACATGCAATCTTGCTACGCACTCGCATTTGGTCTGATCAGGGCTACATGTGTGTCCCCCCACCACTTTTCAAAATGGATCGACGCCCTTGATTTTAGGGTGATGCTATGCAAATGATACTATGCAAATGGAGGTTCCATGTGACCAAGTGTGACCGACTTGACTTTTTCACGTCATTCTGAGAAATACGTGTGTGTAAACCTCTTATGAAAACAGTACGTTTGTTGAAATCAACCTAATTTAATTGATGAACATGTACATTAATACAAGGGTTCAAATCTGTATATATTTGCTTGTCTTTTTTCAGGATTTTTTGCAAAATCAGAATGTTAAATCAACACTGGAAGTTCTTTCAGACAGCAATTCTTGGTGTCTTGTGGGTAAGTTACCAGATGATACATGTACACGTACATTACTAGTGCATGTGGTACATGTGCATGTAGATCTATCACATTGTTACAAAATTTTAAAAACCAAATAGAGGCCTTTTATTGATTGCAAATCTGATAGGTAGCTACCTATATGAAATCAATTACAGAGCTACAAATATCCACAGAAAACAAGCAAATTCTCATCAAACTTACTTTATAAGCAATTGGCAATGGGTAACAGCAGAAGATACCAGTTCAAGTATAATTTTCAACTGATGACAACTGAAACTGAGTTGGAAATTTGAACAGCAGTAACCTGTCAACTGCCAACATAATGAACATGTTGTATGTATACAGAATTAATTCGTTGATTAGCATACAACTGTCACCTGTTGTTACACAGTCTATGGTGTTTGGCACATGTACTGGTACATACAAGGGGGAAAATGGCTCAGAGGCAAAGCTGAGGATGTCATTTGCCCCCAATGGTGTACAACCCATGTCCACGTACATGTACCCCATCACAACAGGTAACATTTAAGAATTGTTGGCCATTTGCCTCGGTGTTCAAAACGTCATATCCCACACCACAGCGGTCAACAATTGTTTTATCATACCTGAATTTCAGAAGACTGACTAACTGTCAAACTGTATAATTAACGTAACAGACATACATTGTACATGTAAACGATATCGTCTGCAAATGCATAGTTCCCTCACTTTCTTTAATTGCCTAAACTTTAATGTGAAAGTACCAGTAGTGCTGGTACCAGTGAGTACATGTAGTGTGGATTGTGGTTCCTGCATTAATCTTACATGCTGTGGGGAAGGGAACGAGTCTTTTAATTAAACGAGCATGATCATTGATCGAATTTCGTAGCCTGTGCACAAAACGTATCATGGGTACCATGCAAAACTGACTGAAGGAGTGGAAACGTCTGCTTAAACTTTCCAAAGCTTTGCTGTCTTACACGGGTGCATCGGCAGAATGAGATACCACACGATGAGTGTAATATGCAAATTTATCAACCTGTCATGTGATCATTCTGTACCAAATGGACAGTATCTAAGACAGAGGTACCACAGATTGTTTTGTTGCACACCACAGGAATAGATTATACGAACGCAAGGAACAGTAGGCTGATGAATGAAATATTTTATTCCAAAGCAATGCATTCACTGAAATTGTCTTTTAGTTGAACAAATTTAACTAACGTCAATAACTGGTAGGAAGTACCATCTTTTTGTTCACATTTTTGAAGAAATGTTTAAGTACATGTAAGCTGTCCAATTCTGTCACTGGTAACATCTGAAATTGTTATGCCATGGTTATAGATAATTTTTATTGGCTGCACATTGATCATGTGATATGCTACAAGTGCTCATGTATCATTCATGTGTCAAGCGCACTGACGATGTTGCCAGACCACAAAAATGATGGATAATAGTTCTTTTTCCCACAGTTGATGTGTCGTGTCTACTGTGTTGTAATTGTGTAATCTTGGGTACAAGTGTGGATAGCCATGGTGGTACATGAACATGTACTACGTGCCAGTTATTGTAGGAGATATGTACTGCGTGGGGAACATTGAAGCACTGTGTCTGTTTGCATGTACATGTACATGTATTACTCTCTTTACTCTGACCATGACAGAGACTCATTGGTTCTTAAACGTCTGTTCCTGCCCCTTCTGTTTCTGTGGTATGCACATGGTATGCTCTGATCACTGTTTCTGCTGCGATTGCCATTGCTGTTTACATAAAAACATTCATGCCGATGTCTCTTCTTGTCTGTTCAAGTTCTTCAATCTTGTCAATACCATTCAATGGAATTTGGTATAAATAATGTCTTGAAATTCAACCAGTCTACAAAAACCTTAGTGCTTTATGAATCCCAAGTTTCTCTAGTAATCCAGTTTGTTATAAATCCTAGATTTCTTCCTCCCCCTCTTAAAAAAAGTAAGACAAAAACAACAACACATCTCAACAAAGGACACCCAAATCTACATGTATATTCTTCCTTGTAATCAAATATTTAATTTGCTGTTCAAGTGTTTCGATTTGTCACAGCAGAAACAGCCCTGCTCTGCCCCCCATGGCTACAACATTGTATCCAAGGTGGACACAGCACTTTCAACAGTGAGAAAATCAAGATGAACTTTCATTTCATTGTTCATGTACTCCTGACTTGTGTGCATGTTGCATGTTTGTGGCAAAGCATGTGATGATGCTCGACCAATAAAGATTCACAACCTATTACTCATTTACTGTGTTATAACAAACAGATATCATGTGTATCATGGTAGAATATACATGTACATGAACATGTACATGTACATTGTACATGTACATGTATTGTAAAAAGGGGAGGAGGTAGTTTTTGTTTCAATTAACATTTTTCATTATAGTGTAATTCAACCAGCAGAATTAGGAGGCATTACTTCGGTGGCACAATGCTCGTGGACAGGTGGTGTGCGCGCATTACATGCCTCTTTGACCAATAGAGTGTTGTGATTTGCCAACTGCACGCACGCGTCAAGCTGAAGAATGTGCATATGAGTGCGGTGCCACTGCAGTTATGGTGTCTAATCAGATTAGTCTCTACTATGTATACTGTTATAGTATGTAGTAAAGCTAAGGTACCGGTACAATGTACTTGTCCAGTTACACGTATTATTATTATTTATATTTGGTATTTAAATGAAACCAAACATTCAATTAGAAGCACCTCAGGCACCATACTGTACATGTACAGCTCGTGAACCTGAAGAAACCTGTAGGGTGGGGGCAGTGTGTGAATTCACAGTTTTAGAGGTGGGACAAAAACCCAAGAGGAAATATACTAAGTCCACAGAATCAGGCAGGGAATGAAAATACATGTACATGTACCTATACTGTACATTAATTTTCACATCTTGAATTGCTGTGTTAACACATGTCTATGCTCATCAGCCATGCAGTTTAACTAAACATGTGCTAAACAGTTTAACTATACATACCGGTACCAGTACACGTAAAAAGGAGTCATACATTTATATTTAATGGTCCATAATTCAAAACTTAAATACAAAATGGCATTTTATTATTGAGTTAAAATTTGAATTACTGTGAGAGTGTATTTATCACTAAAACTTTTTTATGATTTGCAACTGTTTAGGATATCATGCACATAAGGTTGAGGTGATACCAGTCCAGTGCAACGTAACTTCTATGACGTTTTTTGACCGCCTGTTTGACCAAGGCATTGTCAGAGATAGTGGAAGAATTGTCAAGTGCCTGGATGAGTTTCATGAAGAATTCCAGATATCAGATGAACTACGTAAGGTAAAGAAAGACATGGAATACATGTAGTTTAAAATGCCCTACTATACACAGACATTTAACAGCTCTGTTGGTTTTCTAATAATATGTACACGTAACAATACATGTACATGTAAAGTGTACAATCAGTGTTGGATTTCTCTTGTACAGCATCGCATTTTCAATGCAAAATCGACCAAATACTATGCACTTTCTGAAATAAATTGCACAGTGTACGATGCAAATGCACCGGGCTTCATGCTATAATGCTCGAAACAAGATTCGATTTGCACATACATATGCCTGTACAGCTGGGCGCATTATCTCTTCGGCCCTGTTCGTTTCACATGGATCTGGATTGCAATCAGTGATCTGAAAGCTGCAGGTTCGCACTGTCCATTAGACCTCAGATTACTGACCACGATCCGGATCCATGTGAAACAAATGGTTGAAATACACATGCATGTATGCAGAAATTGAGCCCGTGAAGAGCTGACTTCATTGGTTCCCACACAATAGCCAAAGTGGGGAACCTGTAACGCTCACGCATTTCAGCTAGGCTCCGGGCACAGTTCATGCAGCTTGAACTGTACAGTACATGTACATGACAGAACACACGGTCATCGTGTCTCAGTTGGACATTGCATCAAGGTTTTAACTTCTGCATGGTCATATGGAAGTTGAAAGTTGGACAGATGTAAAATTAATTAATGAAGAGTGAAAAACAAATTCAACTTACACTTGCTAGATTAAAAAAAGTGATTGATGTTTCGTTTTTGTCTAACGTTACTTTCGCTTTTGGTTGTCGGGAAGATCGGTGTAAAGCACAGTGCATCGTGTGCTACCAGATTGTACCTACATTTTTAGAGTCCCTATTGTCACACACTTCACCTTGCACTTGACTTGTTGCCAAATCCCTTGTTGAAAAAGCATCGTTTTGTTAAATGTACTATAACCTTCATAATACGTGTAAATGCTGTTGAACCTGTTGAACGTTCAGTGTCATGAAATTTCATCCAAAATTCCAAAACAGTGGCATCTTGGAAATATGGCAGGAATTTAGCTGAGTGTTGCCTGACCATGCTGGTGTTGTGCACTTGAAAAAAATCCCACAAACCTGAATAAAGATTAAACAGATTCTTTGAAGTTGAACCACAGGTTTGTTTAAAGGTTATTTTCATATTTTGCAAGTATTTTTAAGAGTTCGTTTTGGACTTCAGGAAAAATAAGCCAAAAATAAAAATTTCATCGGAAGTTTGTCAGGATTTTTGTAAATTGGAGATTTTTGAAGATTTTGTAAATTGGAGATTTTTGAATCAGAATTTTGGGGGTTTCTGATTTCACTTTTAATGAAATTCAAGGTTAAAATATTGCTCCAGCAAGGCAGTAGAGGTGAAAAATCCAAGTACACTTCATTAAAGTACATCAACATACCCTTTCGAAGTAAAGCCATCACCAGCTAAACACGAGAAAGCCAACACAAGTGACCACACTTTTGCAAGCAAAATAAAGACCAGATTCTTTCAACAGTACAATTTACGTGTAGTTCATCAGAAAAGGGGCAGGATACTCAGGTATCGTGATGTTCATCATGTTAAACCATTTAGGCAGATCTTGTGTGCAGATACCGGTACATGTATTTTACCGCTATTTTCAGGTACTTCACGCCTACTTTATCCACTTTAAAAATTTTCTGGCCCTAGACTGAGAACCCACTTACTCTGAAAATGGTATGAAAGACCACTGTTTGAGACTTTGTTTGCTTGTTTTCTTTTATATGGATATTTAGTAGTTTCATGCAAGTACAGGTACATGTACCGGTGTACTATGAAAACAGCTGCTACACAACTAGGCAATTGCCCTTCAAACAAAATATTGCATAGCAGTTTTGTTATGCAGATATTTTGAGGAAATCGAGCACTGTGTACAGTGTAGACACACACACCCAGCCATACATGTACATGTAGACACTGGAGATAGAGGGCATACTTCCCAGACTATCAGACTGAGGACTTTTGTCCATGTGAGTGCAGCCTACATGTACATGTAAAACACCGAGGACATCACACGCATGTTCTTGGTTGTTTGGGCTGGTAAAATTAGGTTGCGTTATTGGCCTACTACTATAGGGTTCATCATCAATATGGTATAATGTCTTGAGAGAATTGCTGGTGTGGCGTATCGTACATGTAGCTTAACTTGGCTTCAGCTTTATTGTGATATGACAAAAGTCTTTGATGTTTCTCCAAGTTTGGGTCTGCAGTGCCACGGTGGAAGCTGCCTTGATGTCATGCTTGCCAGGAACGTTCCTCAACTGGCAGAATCTGCGCAGGCCTTGTTGGATGTCTGTCTTCTCCGCTGTAGTCAAAAGATGGCGCTTCACTTGTCTCGATGGCAAAGAGGGCTCCCTCTTTCGTGCTGCAGCATCACCAGGAAGATGTTTTTTGCAAGAAAAGGGCATTAGAAATGTAGGTGACAGGTCAGCAGACAGCCCGCCTGTGTGACAGACAAAGGCAGACAGCCCGACAGACCAACTGACAAAGTTGCCAAATCTTACCCTTTTTGACGGATTCATTGCAGGAGTCTTCACTGCTGTCACTGCTGTCCCCACTGTCACTGCTGTCCTCTTCACTGCTGAAGCCTTCTGCGAGTAAACAAAAACTATTGAAATCAATCAGTTAAAGTCCATATACATGTAGGGGTATCTGGCAATCTCTGCTTGGCGTTGGGGTGGGGGGAAGAGGGGGGAGGTAGCTGGCAAAAATGGAACATTATTTTTAGAGTTCTTTGGGCAAGATACATTTATTGGGGTGATTTTTGGCCCTTTCTCTCTTTGTACTGGTCTGTTCTTCCCTTTTTTGGGGGGAGGGTGATTAGGAAGAAAGATAATCTTTTTGGCAGGGTATGATGCCCTACAAAGTGTGAGTCTGGGTTTGGTTGACTTGGTTTGAAGTCAAGCATTGGTNTAGACGGAACATGGGAAACATGGTTTGAGTATAGGGTGCCCTTACTTCCAGTTACATGCAGATCGTCCAAGGATTTGCCCTGCTGGGAAGGCAGGTTGCCCCTCTCCAAACTCAGGAAAAGTCTTGACAGTTTGGTGACCCGCTGTACAGTATCTGGCAATTGGTAGTATTCGCGATGTACCCGCAGATCGTGGCCCTTGAAGTTGGCTAGAGTTTCAAGCTAATGTTCCATGCAGTTGCTACATGTTTATGGAGTTTGGTGGAACGAATGCTGGATGCATTGTCAAGGCCAGCCTTATCTGCATATGCCCTTAAACAGTCGCTCCTTCGTATGTGGCCTCTCCCGCCATAACAACACCGTGCGAACAAGAAGTTGTTGTCTTGGACTACTCCAGCTTCAGGTCTCTTGGTGACCAGAGCATTCAACCACGCTACTGCCTCATTACTTAGAAGCACAGGAACAGTTCTGCCTCTCTTGCTGACTATTTCGACAACACGGAACATCTTGCAGAGCTGAAGTTCTAAATCACTCAACAGGCATTCCCCCTCCAGTTTGGCAGTGCTGTGCTTGTGGAAATATTCAAGTTTCATCTTTGAAACCTCCCCCTGCCTTCTTTGGTTGAACATTATGAGTTGGCACAGACTGACCTCATTCAATTTCTGCCAAGCTGGTCTGATTTGTCTGCCCCAAGCACCCTGAAGGAGTTGAAGTTCCCGGTTGCCAGCTTCATGAAGGAATGACGACATTTGGACTACATCAGTATTTGTCAGGAGAGTGGTGACTTAGTTGCATTTTATTTGGTACAACGTTCTGTGTGTGTGTGTGGACACAAGGTCTCACCAGTTCAATTCACACAACTGCAGAAACTCTTCCACCTGTTCATGGGCACTTCTATGCAAGACGAGTGCACACTTCTTGACAGAATAACCAATCGTCAGTGCTAGTGATGGAACATGGTACAACTGTTTGTTTTCCCTGAAGCCACCAATATTGTGCACGGCCTTGAAAATGTCAGAGAGGTGGTGTGTATAGACAAATGATTCAAGTGATGCATTCAGTTGCTGGGTGTTAGTTTGGAGTTGTATGATGAGTTGACCCAATTCAGGTACCCTGTTTACGGACGTAGACATGCTGATCTACATCGTGCCCGAGTTTAATTCAACAATCAATGTGTCATTCTTAACTACCAAAGCCACATCATCTCTTTTCATTGGACTAAAAACCTGGTGCAACTGGAATGACATGCCAATAGGAGGAGGTTTCACTCACTGCTTGCCAGAAACTTTCCTCAACTGGAAGAATCTGCGGAGGCCTTCTCGGACGACCGTCTTCTCTACTGTAGTCCAGGGATGGCGCTTCACTCGTCTCGATGGCAAAGAGGGCTCCCTTCTTTGTGATGCAGCATCACCAGGAAGCTGTCTTATTAATGTAGGGCAAGGAAAGGGCATTAGAAATGTAGGTGACAGCACGTCAGATGTGTCATCACTTGGAGCAACAGGTGTAGTACGCCTATTGCTGGAACTGGTGGACAGCTCAACCATACTGTTCAAACTTCTCCGCTTATGGTAGACGGGCCAGCTGGCAAGAAATCAAATCGAACATTAATTTCATTACACCGCCTGTCTTCTTTTAATTTGGTGTGGACTGGTGGGGGGACAGGTATCTTGCTCCAAAGAGCCACATCCGCCAAAAAAAAAAAAATTTAAACACAATTTAAACACAAAGAAAACTACATCTCAGAATGGCTGCAGAAGTCCACAGGCATGATGGCAAAGTGACGCTATGATGCTTTTGGAGAGTTCTGGGGCTTTTATATATGTTGGGGTTATGTATCCCCAACACTTTGGGCCGTTTATTGTGCTCAGCGGTCCAAACTGGCCCAGTGGCCGGCCGGACACAGGGGCCAGCGTAGCAAGAGAGCTAGAGAGGGCACTATTCCATCCAGGGATGCGCCGAAACTGTCCATTCCGAGCGGGTGTTTTTAAACAAAACACCCGGCGTGTTAAACGCGTACACCAAGGACGTCTTCCTAATGCCTTGCAATTTCACTGACCATCGTAACTGCTGACTGTGGCCTCAAATTGCACCTTATTGATAACTGAGGATGTCCTTGATTTACAATCCGACCTCGAGCGATTCATGGCTGTGTTAATACATAGAAGAGCTCCATCTGCACCTTTGACATGTACAGTTTTATGTACCTCCTGTGGACATTCCTTTCTTTTCGTGCAGTTGAGAAAACTCAGTGAAAATACTCATTTTTCTTGAACTGGGAACACGATTTTCAGCTGGCTTTTTGTACAAGGTTTCCCTGACTATTCCTCTTCCTTTTACAACAGATGACCCCTACGCCAAAATGCCTCTAAATTTGTTTTGCAGAGAAGGGGGAAACATCCTGTGGACGTGTGTGAGTCCACAGAATGTCTTCCTTTCCTGCATTGCGTGGATATCTAGTCCACACTAGGTATATGTATGTAAGGTTAGCGCACCCATGTTTTACATACAAAGTGTGGACATTTCTTTGTTCTCTTGTGGTCAAGGAAACTTGAGGAAAATGCTCCTTTTTCTCCAACTAGGATAACTCATTCGAGCTGGATTTTTTTTATGATTTCCTGGACTGTTCCTCTTCATTTTGCTGCAGATAATCTTCACCCCAAAATACCTCTGAAACTGGTTTTCAGAGGGGGGAAAAAATTGTGTGGACGAGTGTGAGTCCACACAACGCCATTATACCCTACATTGTGTGGACTTCTTTTGTGCAGAGGTGCACTATATGTATGCCACGCCTGCATATGTACATGTACTCATGTGTGTGCTTTGGTTTTACATAGATTAAAACCCTCCTTTTGCTGCAACAGTCACAGACAGTTGAAAATTCCTTTCACCTCTCCCTATATAGTACATAGACATATTATATGTCACTTGACTGATATACTGTATAACTAGGACAACTGTGTTTAGAATGCATCTTTGCATAAGAGGGTTTTAATCAAGAACTGAATCAGCAATATTGCTTCTTATGGTACATGCATGAAAAAAGACGAAAATCATTGCATACAAAATGGTAAGGACTTACATGTATATTGTTTACAGGTAGGGGGGTATATTGTTTACAGGTAGGGGGGTTTATTCATGTACATGTACATGGATTCAATGTACCCTCTTTTTTTATGCTTTCAGGAACCAGCTTTTATACACATGCATTTAAAAGTTTGATAACATGGTACGTACATGTACAGGCGTACGTCTCCCCCACTATCATGGCTATGTGGATCTTACCATCGGTTTTTTTCAAAACACCACCTGCCAAGCAGAAATATGGGATGCAAATGTTTTTATGGGAAGGGGTGTCATAGCCACCGCATTTTACAGACTGCAGAGGGATCAAAGATGGAGTGGTCCAAAAAGTCAACATTTTGTGTGTGTTGTTATATATTCACTATATAGTTGGCCCTAATGAATGTTTTGCCCCTTCCAGCCCTCCCTGATGATACTCATGTATGGGTACTAGTACATGTACCTGTAATACTGGAATAACATACATGTACATTTACCATACATGTGTTGCACTTACATGTAATTATCGTTTTCTGAGGTCTACTATTTTTGGTGTTGTGCTTTGTCTTACAGATGCTTCTGGTTGAAGAGTCAGATTACTACAGTATCTTCAGTGATAGTGAGAGACAAGAGTTTTTATTTCTTCTCTTCAAGCACCTGTGCCTCGGTGGAGAAGTTTGTCAATATGAGGATAATATTCAGTCATATTTGGATACCGCAAAGTCAATATACAAAGAGCTCATTAGGTATGGATACTGTTGAACACAAGTGAATTTTCCATATTTGCTACAATAGGACAAGTCCTCTCATAAACCAATCTAAAAGCAGAAGAAAATCACCCAGTAAATTGAATAAAAATTGAAAGAGAAACACAAAAACTGTGCAATGCCAAGTGCCTTGAATAGATTTAGAGGAAATCACTCTTTGTCATAATTACAGTATACATGTACATGTAGTTTTCCAATATCAAGTGTCAGAGACCATTCTAATACATGTGTTGTTGCAAGTATGTTTAGCCCTAACAGTCCATATCCTTCCATTTCCATATGATTTTACATACACTCTAGGGGGTTAGGGTTAAAGCATAAATTGTACATGTACATGTTTGGATTTTTTTCAATAAGGCCTTAACAATTTCCCAGGTGTGTAGAATGAGCACAGAAAACATCTGGAATGTGTGGACAAAGTTCAGTATTGGACATCCTCACAAAAATGATTTAATAATTTTTAAGACCTAACATGTTTTTGCCTTTGTATGTTACAATTTTTTTTCTTTTATCAAGTGTGCAGAAGGATAGTACACGGCAGCTAAGAGTGACATCACTGGTTTATCAACTGAGAGCATGGGTAAAACTCACTATTGCTTGTTTCCTAATACATTTTGTGAAATACAGTCATTTCATTACAGTCATATGGCGGTCATACATGTACATGAAATTTCTTTTCGGAGATCAACAGCTACTTTTGTTATCCACTCCACCCGTTGCACAGCCGTTTTCCTAGTTACGGATGTTTCCTAGTTCACAAGAGCGAAAAAAAGACTAAAATTCACGGGGCGATAGGTCACTCACTATGTGTGATTTCTAGTACTTCTTTTGATTGAACAGTCATATAAACGTTTGCATCTAATGTCTGCTTAATCAACATAACTTTTAGAGTTTTCATTTTTTGTTAATTGACCAAAAACTTAAAGCTTTTCCCCCAACTTTCTAAAATAAAAATTTTTTTAATCTGTTTTGTATACCCTCAAAAAAAAGACAATTTGCAAACTGAAGGTAACAGTTTTGTTTGATAAAAAGGTAGGAGAGATTAACTCCGACATTTACAACAATGTGCTGCTTGCTTCCTATGTGTGAAAAAGAGCCCTGTTTCGGGCACATGGTCCACCGGGGTCGCAAGCAGTGCCATTTGTTATTAAGTAATGTCCTTTCCGGGTGCCCAATGTTGACAAAAAACGGGTACCCGGTTCCAAAAATACCCAGAAATGCACACCCCTAAGTGCTTCAGACAAATTTAAAATAAGTTGGCAACTCCATCTCTGTGGTGTTGAAGAAATCACTAACAGTGTACATGGTTGACATGATTGTTTTGTTATTATTTTTGTTCATTTTTACAAAAAACTTACAGACAGTTTGCTTTTCAATCTCTTTTTAAGCCCTGAGTATGCTCTTGAGTTTCACTTCAAAACTGTTTATTCTTTTGAGTTACTAACTGGCCTGCAGGGTTTGTTCATAGCATTTATTTCTTAACCCTCTCTCCAGCATCTTCAAGTTTCCAAAGAGTCCTGTTGTTCACACTAGTTTGGAAAGGAAAGTTAGGCCTTATCTGTAGGTCATCACTGTGTCCATATATTACATGTATATTACACCAAGGGTGATGAGGGGAGGTTGATGTGGAGTTGAGATATTTATCTGTAGTCATTTCTGAAAAGAATCAAATTAGGAAAAAGAAACAATAGCAAACTGTTTAAGTCAAGTGTGGATCTAATTTTTGCTGTGTTTAGACATTGTTTTAGTGACAAAGTTAAACAAAAGTCAAAATGGTACAGTTTCTAATCAAAATGGTACAGTTTCTAATTACACGAATCAAGACTTTGAACACAGAAATACAGCTTAAACTTTTCACCCCAACAATTCATACTATACAGAATTGTGTTGTTTAGCAAGCAGATTTAGCTAAAAGAAAGAGAAGATAAAGTGTCCCTTAAGCAAGAGTACAAAATAGACTGTGCACAGAACAACTTTTGTAACCAACAACACAGCAAAATTATTATTATACACTTGGACAAAAAGCATCAGGCAGCACACACCGGAACAGTATGCGACTTAAACAGTTAAAACGGTAAATGCAAAGACAAACAATCAGTATATGTATTGAGAAGATATAAAAGGTTTGATTCGACGTGCCCTAAACAAGATGAAAAATTGAACACAGAATTATAGCCCAGCGGCCAAGACCAAAATAATGGCAGAATATTTCACTTTGTGGAGAAATTATGAAACTTGGCACACATGTAGGGGACCCCTATAGGATCATTTTTTGATAGGACCCAACTCTGAAACGCCCCCCTGGTGGCCGCCATATTGGATTTAAAAATTGACTTCATATTGGTCCTACTTGTGCTTGTAACTTCTAAACTAAGGCAGATAGAAATGCCATTTCAGTGTCAAACCCCCCCATTTTCAGGGTCAAGGAATTTGGTCAAGTCATTATTTTCCAGTGTTGGCCATATTGGATTCCAAGATGGCCTCCGCATTAAACTTAATTGCCCACAACTTTGAAAAACTGAGGTATATAGAAAAGCAATTCCAGTTGCTAACACCCCATTTTCAGGGTCAAGGAACCCAGTGAAATAATTGTTTTAAACATTGGTGTCGGCATCTGACCACCAGTTGCCAATGATGGTGGAGTTTATTGGTTTTCGTGCTTAAAGAATTCATCAACATCACCTTCTATAGTTTGACTGGCAATGTACAACCTTGAAAACAGAGCCATGTCATTCTTCAGCTCCGTCAGTCTCCCTGCTGCATTGGTTTTCTCCACATTAGGTTTGCTAAACATGGCCAGATTGTTGCAGGAAATGGTGTCTCCAATTGACTTCGAATTGGAATTTAAACGCTCTTCCATGAATTATAATAATATTTTGCCTTCCCCAGTGAATGAACGCTCCTCATGGCAAGTACACCTTTCTCTAGCATGATGGCTTTGGAATTGAGATTAAGCAAGTCCATACTCTCCTCCATAAATGGGTTGCCCATCTTTTCAATTGTAGTCACCAATGACTGTACATCTTGAACAAATTTCTCTTGGATGCTTTTTGTCTGCTCATGGTGGCCATCAGGGGTCGTGGCAGTCCCACCTTCGTTGAAGTCATCCTCGAAATCTTCAACTAGTCTCGCTATTTCGGGTCCAGCCACTATCCATCTCCGAAGTGCTCCAGGGTTTTCAGTTAGGCCAACAGCTCCACTGTCGCTCTTATTAAACCAGTGCATTAATCTGTTCGTGTGCCTGATCCAATGAAATGGCGGAGAACGGTCAGCTTGTCTTCATGGCAGTAAATGTCCCGCGTTTGAACTCACTAAAGACATCTGGACACCTCTCTTCCAAGGTTGACAAATCTCTCACATGAACCAGTAACCAGCGTGCATAGTTTGGATGGTCTAATGCGAAGAACCAGGGTACTAACTCAGCTTGCGATGCAATGTACAGGCCAAAATCAGACACTCGCTAGGACCTCACAAACTGGAAAATAGTCATTTCAAAATCTAAGACTGTCTGCCAAAAATGGAACTGTGGGTACATTTCTGAGCTCTCAGCACACCACTTGTGAATCCATCTGCTTCGATCTGACCATGTCACTGTGTGAAGGATTCCTTAATGCATCGCATGTGACCAAACCCGCAGGGCCCATCAGGTTACAGCTTTGTATCAGTTACAGCAGAAAGCCTACTTGAACTTCAAGGAGATGTCCTTGAAGTTCAAGTAGGCTTTCTGCTGTAACTGATACAAAGCTGTAACCTGATGGGCCCTGCGGGTTTGGTCACATGCGATGCATTAAGGAATCCTTCACAGGTGCCTGCAGTCACAATGTCTGTCTGAGTCAGAGCGTCTGTCCATCCACTTCCGTCAAGAATATCTCCGATCGTCCTCAAAGCAGCCATCTCTGTATGCAATCCCCCTAGCATAATGACATACATGTACTTGTCCTTGCCATACAAGTTGGGAAACCGCCAATGGATCTGCTTCGCTATGGCATATAACGGCTGATCCATTGTGAGGATGGGTGTTTGTCCAGCATTGAGGAATTGCGTAGCAGCGGCATTGTTGTGTAAGATATGGGAGATCATAGCCACATAGTTTGACTTCTCACGGAAAAAAGGTAGCAACGACACATTGGTCTTTGTAGCTGGGGGTTCCTCTTTCCTTGACGTATGAAATGCTGCCCAAGACACATTATCAAAGTCACACAGGGTCTCCTTCAGGCAGAGCTTCATCTGGTGTTCCAGCCACATATACACCAGCTTACATTTCTCCTTCAGTATGGATGGTTCATCTATAGGTGGCCTAACAGGACCATAGTATTCAGGAACATATGCATCATTAGGAAGAGCCTGTTCAGCAGGAATGCTAATGTATTGTGTTGGCAGCGGTTGAACATATTTAGTCCGACAAGATTCTTCCTGAAACAGAGACGCATCCGAGCGTATTTAGCCAGAATCAGGAGCCATCCCAAGATCAACCAGACGTTGGCGATATGTCTCAGCGGGGTCAGCTAGATAGAAGACAGGAGCTGTGCCTTCCAAACTACTGGCTTCATTGATGTGAGCTACAAGTTCTGCCAATGCTATACCATCAAATGATGAAATTGCATATTGTCCCACTGTATTGTCAGTTGCAAATGTTAACGCATTATGAAGGTCTCTGTCAGTGCCATCGCAGAACAGGCACGTGTTATTTTTGCCTGTTTTACTCTGATCTGCACTCATTCTCCGAGTTTTACGAGGAGAGACTTCAGGCGTATCGTCACAGGGAGCTCTACGTTTTCTCCACCTATCAAACTATAAAGCTGACCGTATTCATTTCTACACAGTTTATGCCAGCAAGCTTCATGTGCACGAAGTGTTTGTTTAATGCCAAGTCCATAAACAAGTCTACCAAAATCAATTTTGAGTGGGTTGAAGCCGGCATCTCTAGCGTCACTTAGTTCTCGGGCCAATGTACAATATCCCATTCCTTTGGCAAACCGCTTTCCCCTCCCTGGCAAGACAACCGATTCTGATGTCTCTCTTTGGCAAAGGACACAGATTCTCCCGTTGAAGTCAGGTTTTTTTTGCTCCTTCCGATGCACCGTTTGTTGACATAGAAGGGACTAACTTAAAAGATTTGGACATCATCAGTTTGTTTCAGCACCTAAAATATAAAAAAAAACCTTGCAATCCTGAACTAACAGCACTTCTGCGAACTCCAGTGTTGTAGTCGAGTACTTTTTTCCGAGTACCAAGTACTGCCGAGTAATTTGACTGCCGGGTACAAAGACAGGTCAAGTACTTTGCCAGCCGAGTACTGGTTTCCAAGTACAAGTACTTGCACTTCCGAGTACAAGTACAAGTACTTCTAATTCCGAGTACAAGTACTTCTAATTCAAAAGTAGTTTTATCTTAATTTAGAGCCTCTAAGACCTGCCAGTGTGTAAAAGAAACACAGAATGCAGATGAAATGGCTACAAGAACAAGTGATCTGGCTAGCAATGTCACGGTCACTACGCGTGCGTTGCAGCAGTTGACACAACGTGCACGGCGCGGCGAAGTCTATTTTCCAGACTCAATTATTCACATGCCTGTGATTTTCTGTATGCTGGGTTCATCGTTAGAATGTTCGAATCCAGGAACCAGACTACCGATGCCCAAGTAAATCGCCGGACCATTCTGGAGTACCACAATATAATTTGCGTATATAACTGGTTAAGTACGCGCACAGACGGCGAATGGGTCGTATACGTTAATGGTCCCATGTTCGGCCTTCTTTTTGTCAGAACCATATCGAATATCGGGTCATTGGGTTCGATATTTTTGTACCTTATTTTAACGGCCGTGGTAAGTTAACTTAAAGGATTTTTATCGAGTACTGTTAATCGAGTACGAGTTCTTTGATGCTCCAGTACAATTTTTGGATGTCGAGTTCCGAGTATTTTGTAGCTCGAGTACAAGAACTGTAGTTCGAGTACGAGTACGAGTACTACAACACTGGCGAACTCTTACTCCCGTCATAGTTTCGAGAGCGGTGATGGGAGGTAGAGCTCGCTCAAGCACCTATGTGCTCATGATGATATTATATCAAGCAGTAAGAGTGGACTCAGACATAATATTGCCCTATTACCCCACGCCACACCTTGTGGAAGAGCCCAAATAGCCTGATACCAGTTTATGATCTATCTGCCTGAGCTGCACCTCGAGTTAGCTATCAGTGCACTTTGCGCTCCATATACACGAAGCCATCATGTGAGTGACTTCTTTAGGCTTTTAACCACTTCCTGCCTGGTGACCCGTTTTTGAGTACATAGGCTTTATATGCAAAGGCAGGGAGCCCGGAACTGGGACCAAAGAGTTGGCCCTTATAATAAACGACTGTGCTTAGCACAAAAGACTGAGCTGCTCGGCATTACCGATATTTTTTTGCTCAATAGTGGAGATAATGCAGCCTTGTTTTGAAACAGTATACCACGGTTTGAGGCATTTAGAGCAAGAGGATTACCACCGGGGACAAAAGCTCTCCACCACCTCAGGATGAGCCACACGGCACCGCTGCACGCTAATCTGGCCCCTATTGAAAAGAGGTCAGCAGTGGACTGTGCCGGTTTCGGGAACAAAAGAATCTGACATAACACTGCACAATCTGGGCTCATATTCCAAGGCTGCAGGCCTGGCTGAAATATTCAAAAGTCAATGAAAGTCAGCTTTCAGCTTTAGAGTAGTGCCCAAAGAGTCCTTCATGTGGGTATAAACGACCATTAAATTTTTAAAGCGGAAAATCTTGAAAAGGACGTGGCATCTTGTCTTGCTCAAGAAAAACCCACCCGGCAGCAAGTGGTTAACATCACTTTACATGTACCTGCCAAATATCATGCATTATTAGTTACATGTAAGCTGAACATGTCTGCATACAGGTCTTCAACTTGTCCTTTATGCATTGTTAAAACGAGAATGAAATTCTTTTGTCTTAACTGAAACACGTGGAACAAGCTGAAGGTGGCAGCACTCTAAACCTACGGGATTCTAATTAATATATAAAAAAACTACCGACATATCCAATTTGTCCTTGATGCCTCATCCTTCATACAAGATACGTGAACTTCATAAATATACAAGTTGATATTAATAAGTTGTTTAATTTATCATATAGTAAACAAATTCAAATGTTGTATTTTATATAAGGCTTGCTGCCATCTTGCAAATCAATCTGGCCAACACCAGATGTTCCAAGTAACAATATTAATGGATTCCTTGACCCTGAAAATGGGGTAAGCCTCTTGAAATCCAATATGGCCGACACCAGATGTTCAAAATAATTATTTTACCGGATTCCTTGACTCTGAAAATGGGGGTTAGGCACTGAAATCGCATTTCTATCTGCCTTAGTTTTGGAGTCATAGGGAAAAGTGTGCCCAATATGGCAGCCATTTTGAAATTCAAGATGGCGGCCACCAGGGAGTGTTTCAGAGTTAGTTCCTAATTGAAAAAAGATCCTATAGGGGTCCCCTACATGTGTGCCAAGTTTCATAATTTCTCCACAAAGTGAAATATTCTGCCATTATTTTGGTCTTGGCCGTTGGACTAATACGACAGGCCAGAATTTCACCTATACAATCAGTTTTATGTATCTAGATTTTTTTTGTTCGACTTTCACGAGGAAGTGACTAGATACTAACCCGTGAAACCTGGTCTGCTATTTTTTCTCAAGACTCTTAGAGGGTTCAATGCTTGGACTCTGTTTTTGCAAAAGGAAATCCCAAACACAATGATAAAATTGGAAAATGAATAGCACAAATGGGTCGGATTCGAACCAGGGACTACGGATCTGTAGCTCAAATCACTACCTACTAAGCTACCGAAGCAACGTAATGGATTCCCGTTTTTGGAATGTCTTAAATGATGTATTTCATTGTCCTTTCTTCATTAATCATTGGTCACCCCAGCTACTGAATAAAAGTAGCGCACCAGGTTTCACGGGCTAGTATTAAGTCGCTTCCCTTTCACGAGTTATATTTGATACTTCTGTGCAGCAGGGTCTACATATTTTACATGCACAAAATTGATCCAGCCACGTACAGTGCATGGTACACTGTGGCCTGTTACCATGTACCGTGGCGTACATGTACATTCTTGTCAGAGCTGGTTTCATAATTTATACCTATATCTATATATCTATATACATGCATGAACAACATGTACATGCAAATGACCCTAAAAGTGGGGCCTGCGCAGTTTATAATTTCCCTCTGAAACACACGTGAGATACAATGACCTTAAGCCTAATCTGCAAAACTTTCAAGTGATCAAGTCATCAGACCAGAAGTTACAGTGAAAAGACCTTTAATTCTTCCAAAATCACGCCAAAAAAATCAATCAATCAAAAGACATTGTCATGAAATGCTCATCACACGATAGAGTGAACATCAGTGTTCATCGATCATTGTCCAAGGCGTTCATAAATGCGACACACCAATGATGAAAAGTCCAACTGATGTCAGTCACTCATGTCAGCAACTGCTAAAACCGCAAGCCTATTGTGTACATTTTGTATACAGTGTACACATATTCACAGCAGTTTGTAGCCTTTGGTCAAGGTTTATCATTAGCCACGATGTACTGGGTAGCGATCCGTTCCCATCATTGTTTGTCATGTACTAGTGGAAAAAATTGAGGCCAGTGTTGTCCTCATGCGGCTAGTGTGATATACAAGTGGGCTAAACCTGGACGAACGCTGGTCCAACCATCTGCGAAGGCTTATGTTTTCTTTATTTTAAGCAAGATTTCTCGTTTAAAGCTTATATGTGAATACAAAATTAATGTGGACATTCATATTTATGGAGGGCCCAATTACAGCTCATGCCAGTGTCATTGTAATTCATGCAACTACATCATCAAAACATTGCAGAAGAATACAAAGTTGCCCCAAAAAATGTGTCTAAGAAAATTCATTGCAGCAACACTTCAAATGGAAGGTGACATGCACAGCACATGCTGCACGATGAGATACAGAACGTAGCTATGCCGGTGTAGAGTGAGACTTATTAGCTTTATTACAAAACAGATTCATTGGTTGCGTTGTACATTCCTGTTAGAAAATAATTATGTAGGTGATTGTCATGTACATGTAAGTGGGTTAGAGTCCATAAAAATAGGAGTCATAGGGCCTGCTCTGTCCCTAGAAGTCTTGCACTCAAGGAGAAGACCCCCTGTGAAGAAACAACCCCCAGAGTTCCCTTGGTCATGACTTTCCATCCTCGTCTTCCTCCCCTATATTCCTCCGCAATAATTGACAATTATCATATTTTTTCTTTGATCTCTTCCCACCTTACATTCCTTTGTTGTTCAACCATGCCTTTCATGCAGTCCCCTTCACCCTTTGCCCCTTTACCCAGTCTGCGGCTTTCTTGACCTTTCCTTTTGTCCTCTTGCATTCATCCATGCTTGGTTGATTCTCCGTTTGCTTGTTTGTCCTGTCCACTTGTCATTTTGCCTTTGAGAAAGATTCTGCTAGGATCGAAACGTGAGGCCCTCCATATTTTGTGAAAATAGTAATGAAACAGGCAGTGTTGAAAACCTGTTGGTAGTTTTATCATTTTGACTTCTAAAAACTACAAGTGTAATTTGCTGCCAACTAATAACAATGGGTAAACTTTCTAATGTAGTCCTGGTTGGTATAAATACACGAAAGTGCATCAACTTCTACCAATTAAAGTTATTACTCTGTGTATATACTTACACCACCCCCCCTGCAGACACATGATGGAGAGAGTTCCTCATGCATTTTGCTCCTACTCTGTACAGTATTAATGCTGGCATCACAACACTGCAAAGCCAAGTGTTGGATTTCAGTTTCCTTTTCTTCCTTCTTGTATTTTTGTGTTTGTATCAAGCATAAATGAAAATGTTAGCTAACTGCTCTCATCTTTTGCTTCATTGCAGGACCAGACAGGCTACCAGTATTACCCATGTGACAAGGACCATTCACAGACATTTGCATACCTCATCATTGATCCACTCAAGAGACAGGCTGCCGTGCTTTATCATAAATTTGGTGGTGGTGTATTCAGCTGAGTTAGTAGAATTATACAGCAAGTCAAGCAACAGATTTATTCTCAAATTTGGTTCTGTGTGATGTTTAAAGGTGGGTTCATACATGTACATGTACTTCAGGCAAAGGCAACAAACAGCAACTTTGATGTCATAAAATATTTGCAGCAAAATTTCCCAGAACTGAAATGTATTCAACTTTTGCAAATTTGCAGTGCAAATTTGCATCACAAAATCATGTTCATAGATGCTTTTGTGCAAAGTATGAACCAGCTTTAATAAGCATAAGGATACTTGCAGAGACCTTATTTGAGGGGTTGCTTATTTGAAGTTCAGTAACTTGGCCCAACCTCATAAATGATACAAATATTAGTACCATTGTTCATGAAAAACAAATTTCAATCTGGTTAGTTCCCCTGTTGTTCACAAACACAAACAAATCATCTCTCAAAGACAACTTGAAATGTATACATGTACAAGTATTAATAATGCATTTATAATGAAGAGGTGTACATGTAGTACAGGAACTCAGGTATTTGTAGATACCGAAGTACAAAATTTAAGGAAAATGAAAATGCACATGTGATTGTAGATTGAAAGTGCTACACTGAAAATGCTAATCAACAGCCTCTGTACACACCTGTCCCCACAGAAACCTTTCAAAATCTTTCCTTTTCCTTGTCTGATAGTAGTCAACATACAGGGACCAGACAAGTTCTCTGAGAAAGCTAGGACTTGGTTAAAATAAAGAGTGAAAAAGCAAAGGAAGACATAAAAATTGACAAAATGGGATTCTAAGAATTTTCTCTTTTAATGTTTTTGATACAAGAGTCAGCTGTAGTTTATACCGGTGAATACAGGCACCTTCCTTAGTAATTGATGGGGATCATTGGTAAGGTACTTGGACACCTGGTTCTGTTGTACAACCCTAACACCAATTTATGTAGCGTGCGTGTGTAATGTAATACCATATTTTTAAGTATGTTTGAACATTAAGATAGTTGAAACCATTAGAAAGAGTATATATATACATGTACAAGGATATACATGTATGCACCCTGGAAAATGTCTTTAGTTAAATCACCATTTCACATCAGTAAGTAGATATATATACAGTGTAATTATGTGGTTTTCTTGGAAAGAACACTCACAAAGGCAGTACAGAAAACAGGTCCGAAGTGTGTGAAAGGTTTGATGTGTGGTCTTTCCAAAGTAGGCTAGATCTAATCCAGGTTTCAAGTAGTTTTCAGAAAAATGCACAAATAGGTTTGTGGCCTCACAGTAATTTTTTTTGTGCAAAAGAGGTAAATCTCGTAATTTGAGTGTTCAATTTAGGAGCACTGGAGAAATTAATGCCTTCAATCTTTGACTGTAAGTTGTTTTGTATGATATTCTTGTTCAGTTGTCATTGTTTTGATTGGGAATGCTTCCTTTGTATCCTGTCTTTTTGTTTGTTTTCTTGAGTCAAATCGGGAAGTTTTTGTTTTGTGTACAGATGCTGTGCATTTTGTGTTTCATATCTGATTATTCTGACAATTTTAAAACACATGTGTATACTTATAAAAGTTAAAATTGAGGGAAACAAAGTCGGTGTTAATGTTAAATCATAAAAGAAAAAAAATGAAAAAAACTTGTTTACAGGCTTTTCACTGCTTTATTGCCCTGGATAACATTAATCAGCTTTTCTCAACCTACAGTGGTCACTTTCCTGTAAGAACTGGGCTTATACATTTTTTGTACTAAGTTATGTTTTCAAAGACATCCACTGTTAAACGCTTTTCCTTAGAAAATTTAATTCTATAAAGGATCCAGAAAGCACCTATCACTGGAACGATTTAGAATTCCCACAAGATTGCTTATGGACTAACTCAAATGCCTAATCAACCTCTTTCTGAGCCCTTTGGTGGATGTGAATAAACGAAACAGTTTGAATGAACGTATTTCTAGAAAGAATTCTAAAAAAGAAAATTGAATGCCTGCTTTTAATTTTCCATTTTGAACTTTCAATTTTCTTTTTAAAATGAATTTAAATGGCCTTTTGTTAAATGGAAGGACTTGGCCAGTAAAAACTACATGTATATTTAAAAAATCAATTTCTTGGTCAAGACTTACACTGTTAGAAAATTTGTAAGTACAAAACTTTATTAGATATTTCAAATTAGTCAACCTGCCAAAAACTACACAAATGATGTCTTCAGGAGTGTCTACTCAGCCAAGTTGGACAGGGATGAAAGAACAAGTTAAAAAAAAAGCTCTATTAAGTCAGGTTATTTAACTGGTACTACTTTTTACATAATTTATATGTAAGCTAACATACCATGGAAAAGGACATAATTCACTGGGAAATACAGGTGTACACATTTCTTGTCAAACTGGAGGTGTTACATTATGCCATTATCAAAACCAATGGTGTGAAATGCCATACAACAGCCCAAGGCACCGCAATTACTGACTGAAGAAGAGGAATAAAGAATCACAGGATAACACGATTTATGAGAACAATTCTTGTCTGCACATTTTCAGCTGATTTTTAGAAGCATGCATGCAGAGGTAAAATACTGAGCAAAGTGAGTTCACATCTCTGGAATGAACCTTGATGTATATATGTACATGTAGCACACGTACCTGTGTGTGCAACTGTTGAATGATAACAGTGTTACAGAAATAGTTCCTCTAAAACAGTGCATGGCTTATAAATGCTAACAAAATTCAAATTTCTTTCCATAAGGGACTATAGCAGTCTAGCTTTAACAAAGAAGGGGAAAGGTCAGACTTACAAACGTTAGCAAAGCCCAGTTATAATTGCTCTTCATTTTCCCTTTAACTCTGCTCCTCATGTAACCACTGATTTTTGCCTATTTCTGTCTATTTGGCAACAGGTATGGAAACTTCTAAAAGAAGGTAAAAATGGGAGACAAAGTTAGCCTAATGTTTTTCAAAATGACAAGGAATGTGCAAGCATGACAAATATAGCTGACAAATACCGGGCAAGCACTACCTTCTCATTTTGACATGCTTTGATGAACACAGATCAGTGCAGTATTAAAGGCTCTGTACTGGTGATCATAATACATGCTCAAACATTTTTGTGTTGAAAAACAATCTTTCAACCATACTTTTCACCAAAGTGATCCAACAAGAGTCAGAATGCCATGAGTGAAGGACTCAAGTTTCTCATCAGAAGGTTCAACTCAACCTAAGTCAAGTAGATGTTACCATTTTGGAATACTTGATAAGATTGTCCATGCCAGTTCCATAACTGAGGGCAGTTGTATAATTGCCTTTGATTATAATTTTGCAATCTGTGACACTTGAATAAACCTAATGTCTTTCAAATCAGCTTGTCATTGTGAGGATTACAGAAATACTTCTGTGACTGGGAGATGAAATCTTCCAGCACTGGCAAACATCCTACAAAGAGCCCATAGGTCTTTCTCTGCCATTCAATAAATGTTCTGTTGTCCCTGAATCGCGTATCATGCAAAAGACTGTGAATTATTGATAAATGTTTGGATTGATGGCACTAAATCTTTGTAATATTCTTCTTACATGTGTATCTGAAAATACGAAATGTAGCCCTGCCTCTGCGAAGAAAGTCTGTCCATAAATGCGTACAACACCCTTTGCTAAATTTTTAATTCCTGCAGGATTTTTATTTAACTTTGCTTTTGGGAGAGTTTTTCTAAAATGGATGCCCCACTCTCACAATGGTCAACAAACATGGACATTTCATTGTACCTCTAAAAAGCCATGCCCTGAACATAACTTCTGAAGTCGTAAAAAGCAGTGTTCTATTTCTTGGGGATAAAAGAGCAATCCATCAAATAGTTGACGCATGTGACTGGAACTGGTACACAAATTATTTGGGAGCTTTGTAGGGCTGCTGACTCTTGGTGTCTCCTAACACGCACAAGTACAGGACAATGTGCCAATTAGTTTGTAGGCTGTTCAATGACTAACTTTAGTGTGACCATGCATATTAAAAATGGCTGCTAAACCGGCAATACTGTTCATGCTCATTTAAAGTGCAGGAAACAACAAAATTAATTCTAATTTACCTTTCTATCATTTTTAATTCAGTTTTGAAAAGAATGCTCTAAGCTCTCAGCAATACTAGAATAGAAGTCAGACTAGAAGTGCTCCTCACTAGCAATGGAGGGAAAGGCTGGTTGGGAAATATTCAACTGTGCTTGTGCCATAGGCCTTTGCACAAACAGATTGTATATTCCAGCAGAAGCTGGTTGCAAATGCTCAGCACAGCTTGTCATAGGCATGTTAACACAGTAACTATGAAAGGGAAACGTCATACCAACAAAGTTAAAATATACCATGTCTCATTCCTGCACTGTTTGGATACTCTCACCTATCCATGTGTCATGCTCTGGGAGTTTGTGTTCAACACGTCGCATTTTCATGCACCACAAGGGATGCATTCTCATTTCTTAGCTGGTCTAGGCATAACAAACACCTTGACTGGTTCACACAAATTTAGTGTTCTTTGCTTGCTTGCTCTGTCTGCCCCTCTCACAACTGGATTGCCTCCTATCTTGTCAGGATTGTAAGTCATCACTACTGAGACCTGTATCTGGCAAGGATCTGAAAGTACAATAAAAAGCAAGCAATCAGGGCACACATGGAGATGGTATTCAGACTGTGTTGTAATATGCTTGATCTTGAACACACAATTTCTTCACAACAGTTTCTTAAGGCCTAAACTAAAAAACTTGGGGGGGAATGACATACAGTACTTTTGATATGTCAGATCTCTCAGGAAGCTGAAAAACCTGCAAACTGCAACTTCTAGATCCTAGAGGATTCCGGATCTGGACACGTATGCTTTATATGCATGGCCGGGGTGTCTCCGAACTCGGACAAAGGGAACAGGGCCTTGTAACAAAAGACCGTACTGGGAATTACCGACAATTTTTCACTCTCAAAAGTGGAGATAATCCAGCCATGTTTTGAAACATTATACCACTGTTCGGGGCATTTAGATTGAGCGGATTACCACCGGGGACAAAAGCGCTCCACCACAGCGATGAGTCACACAGCACCGCTGCTCGCTAATCTGGCCCCTATTGAAAGGAGGTCAGCAGCACACTGAGCCAGGTTCATGAACAAAAGACAGTTATTTAACTCTGCACAATCTGGGCTCTTTTTACAAGGCTGCATGCCTGGCCGAAATACTCAGGTGTCAATAGATTTTGTCCGTCAGGCTAGAATGGACACCAGACAGTCCTTCACGTGTTGTAAGTGTCCAGTAAATGAAGACAGGAATTTTAAAGAATTTTGAAAACAGAAAAAAATGATAAATATTCTGGCCCAGCATATCATCAACATTGATAACTGCCCCAGCAGGAAGTGGTTATTATTAACACCATGAACAGCTACATGTGAACTACTGTCCTTTTTTCAACATTGTGAGAGCCATTCCAACACCACCAAAATACAATGTATTTATGTGGCGGCAATCTTGAAAGTGAAGCAAACTGTTCATTGTAGAAACTTGAGAGTAAAAACAACTGCAAGAAATAAAAGCTTATTACAATTTAATGCCAGTTTACATTCAGAATAATTTAAAATTTGTCATAAATAGTATGCAAGTGTTTAAACCACATTTAAAAACAAAGTGAGGCTGGGAACCCATATTTAAGAGATTGTTTTGAATTTGATTGTATTGCATTCCGAGAACACGATCAAAAATAGTTTCCTCATGAATAAGGTCTATAGCAATGACTCATCACATTACCCATTCCACACCATACACCAGTATCACGCATGAAAGATTCACAAATAAAGCCCGCATAACAAGCACCACTTGTTAGGGTGCGGGGAGAATCCATGCAGAAATCAAAGGAGAATCGATTCCAAATGGAATTGGTACAATTCTACTGTTTTAAAGAATTGAATCCATGCAGCAGATGATTCCATTTTCTTAAGATCTAGTTCCAGAAAGCTTCCAGCGATTCTGAAACAATGGGAATTTCCTCCAAAAGTTTGAGGGAAGTACAAATATTTGTGTGTTGATTGAATTACACTTGTTAAAATTTCATGGAATAAACTACAGCCTAAGTTAATGGCAGCATGGAAATAAAGGTGCATTTACATTGTATCTATGTTCCTTGTTAACCACTTGACACCGGATGACACGTAAACACATAGTTTTCCTTATTTATTCCATGGAGGATTTTTTTGTCATTTCTGAGGTTGATGTATTAATGCAATGTGCTTGGTTGGGTTGAAGAAGTTGGAACAGAGACAAGGGCAAACCTACACGCGGATGCTGCTGCTAAGTTGACTCACCCCCAGCCAACAATAAAACAAATGCCTGTTTTGAGTAAGTAGAATTGTATTGGGTAGTCCACACCACACTCAAAAGATGGGAATAAAAGACCTTTGGGTAAAACTGGGTAAAAACTTACAAAAAGAGACAAGGTTACAAAATCCCAGCTAGCAACTCCGATGTATTGAAACAATTGGCAAAAAACATACATGTCTACAGATGACGCCTGCATACAGTAGGGACCTTCTGTATGTGAACCAGTTAATGTGCGGACATGTGCCACAATGTTTACCACAGCAGTTGTAAAAACAGAGGAAAGAATGAAAATTACACTGGTGCCTAAATTCAAGAGCTGTGCCTCCATACATATTTTACGGGCATCATAAATAAATTGCAAAGTTGAAAAATTTGTAGGGAAAAACTTGCCCCCAGTAGCTTTATCAGATAAGAAAATCTGATGTTAACTGGTTAAATATGCCTTTTTAAAAAGCCACCAAAAAAAATTACAACAAAGGGTTTTGCAGATTAATAATCTTTCTTAACTGGCATGTACCTATCAAATTATTATTTCCCATTTCAAAAAGCAAATTAGTTCTACAGTGCAATTTAATGAATTCTAAAGAGTAAGTAATGAACCCACCCTATGCTTGTAACCTGTGAATGATATCTTTTACATGACATCAGCACTAGTAACATTTGGAATCAATTCCAAGTGGAATGGTAGTTCTCAGATGGAATCTGCCCCGATTCCAAAAATGCTGTTGATTTGCCAAACACTAACAGCTTGCATGGGAAGAATTCATATATTTACTGTACATGCCACGTTGCAAGTCCTGCTTTTGCAGGGAAATTAGTCCATATCTCAGGCCAAAAAATGTCTCCCATTTCCGGTCAGAGCATGTGTCATCATAGACCTGTGAAATAGGGTTTTTATTTGGTATAAAACTATATTCAAAAGCTGCTAAACTTGCTTTACCAACTGTAATCCTGCTACTGTGTAAGTTTAACCATATGCTGCCCGGTTTAATTCAAAGTTGCATGATGTATACCAAGGGGATTTTCAAGATTTTTCCATTTTCAAAGTTCTTCAAAAATTCATTTTCAAATTTCATTTACTTGATGTTTACACCACACAAATGACTGTCTGGTAGATTCTAATCTGATGGACAACATCTATTGAGCCTGAGTATTTCAGCCAGGCCTGCCACGAAATTCCTGGTGCCTCCCAGGTGCCCCTCCCCCTAAAAACAGATGAATGAATATTGAACAAGGCTAACAAAGCTTGCCCCAAAAACCACACCCACACCCATGAAAGCTGGTGCCCCCCTCCCCCATAAGATGCTGATGTCCCCCTTGTGCCCCCCACGAGTAAAACCCTAGCTACGCCACTGCCTGCCACCTCGTAAAGAAAGCCCAAATTGTGCGGTGTTACGTAATTTTCTTTTATTCCCGAAACTGGCCCAGTGCACTGCTAGCGTCTTTTCAAATGCGGACCAGATTAGCGTGCAGCACTATTGTATTGCTCATCCCTGGAGCGCTTTTGTCCCTGGTGGTAATCCGTTCATGCTGAATGTCACAAACAGTGGTATAATCATTCAAAACAATGAAGATTTCCTCCGCTATTGACACCTAATAAAATGCTACCAATTCCCAGCAGCTCGGCCTTTTGTTCCGAGTACGGTCTTTTGTTACAAGGCCCAGCTCTTTAGTCCAATTTCGGGCACCCCAGCTATGCGTATAAACCCAGGAAGTCCGGTTCCGGAAACCCCGGCACCAAGTGGTAATTAATGTGTTTTAGATGGGGTACAGAATTTTGTACAGCAATGGAGTCCCTCTAGGTCCCCATACATTTATTTGGGCACATTTTATCAGATGACATCATTTCTGTATTATACATTTACATCTGGAACCAGACAAACCAGGTGGTCTTATGTCCTGTGTACTTGTACGAGCTGAAAACACTTTTGAACAGTAAATAGCGAGAGGGCCAGCCTATTTCAGTGCTGGCAGTGGCATTTTACGTACATCATTTTTAGGAAGAAAAGTGAGGGCAAAGAAAAAGCCTCGCCGTTACACCACTTTTGGAGCTAACCCCTGACCAGAAACCAGAGACTTTTGGGGGGGGCCTCAACCAAAACTCCATGTTCATATTAAGCAAAAATTTCCCAACATAAACATACCTTGTGAGTTAGAGTACATACCTGACCACATTGAATGAGACATATATACTTGCATTTGTAGCCTATGCCTGAGTGGGGACAAGCTACGGAAATCAGATGTCTTTGGACTAAACAATTGCACTTGGCAATCGGGAAACTTGACCTAAATTGAAATTCACAGGAAATAAAGCAATATAAGATCATGTTGGATAAAGCAAGCAACAGATATACCTCCTCCAGGTTGAAGAAAACACCACTTTCTTGAGGAAGACTTTGATTTGACTGCTTTCCAACACAATGCTGCAGTAGTTTTAAAGCAAAACTCAGCGGCCAATAAGAAAGCATTATTTTTGAGCTACACTACTGGAGGTTTGTTCATTGAGTCAGTTTCTACTTCAACTTGGCAAATGAATGTAAAGGTTTTCCAATATTTTGCAATTCTTCAGAGGTCACACACATTTACACGTACCAAAACCAAACCATGGAATTATCGACATATTTCCTCTGAATACTAAATGTTTGTCTGGAGTAATCTAGCATAAACTCTTGACCATTTTGAATTTTTTTGTCCACTGAGTTGTGATTCACAATTGCCTTAATTACAATTCTAAACTGATAGGCTCTGCAATCTGTTACCACACTCTAGTTAATTCAAGAAAATTGTTCCAAAGACAGAATGTGCTGGAAAAAACATCCATGACTAACCACAGAACTAGTTTTTTAAAAAAACCGATGAAATTACCTGTATTTTGATCCTGTTGACATCTTGCACATTGTCTAGCATACAATCAACATCAATGGCTAATGCCAGTCCAGCAGTAAACCTTAATGGATTGTCTGATCCTCCAGCTGGTTCCTGAATTTTTGCAGTCACCTTACTTAACTTGTTGGATGGAAGAAGTGATGGGATACTATGATGAAGCAGCAAGGGTTGCAGTAACTTGGCAAGTATGCCTGCCTTAGTACCATCCAGTTTGTTCATCTCAGAAAATAGAGCATGAGTGAAGGTATCTGGCTTAACTCCAGCTGCAGAGAAATACCTGCCATTTAAAAAGAAGCAAGGATGAGCAAACATTTGAACCTTCAAATGTTAATGATCGTTTCTTTATCAGCATGCGGGTAGCATTCTGACACTGGTATCTTGTGCTTTACATGTAGTCATACACATGTGTTTCAATATGGCAAGTTGCCCATTACAATAATGATAATAATGAATTTTTACTTTTTCAAGATGTATTTTTTTTTTTGCTTCTTTTTAATTTTTAATGCACCAGCTTTAGCAACATGCTGTTGGAAGGTGCAGTACAACTTTCTTACTAAAACGTGTATATAAATACACGTACATATAAAATCACTCAAAACATGTAAAATCACTCAAAACAGGTTAAGTTAGAACAATAGTTTTACAAAGTCATAAAACATATTAGAACAAGGAAAATTAAAATCAAGATAATATTACAAAAGAACAAAACAGAACAAAACCACCACCAAACCAAAACCACCAGCCATTGATGTTTGTGCCTGCTACATGTACATGATACAGGGCATTACCCATTTCCCACAAGTATATACTAAAGTCATATCAAAACATACTAAGGGTACAAAATTCAGGGCTGAGGGTTATGAAGAGATTGCAACAAATGCCCTCTGAAAAAGGAATGTCTTTAATTTCACTTTAAAAACTTTAAAACGCTGCTCATTTCTTGAATCAAAGGGCAACGCATTCCGTAATTTAGGAGCCGCAGAGATAAAAGCCGAATCGCCTAGCATAGACAACATTCTCCCAGAGGAAAATTCAACAGAATTCCTATGGATGATCTGAAGTTATAGCTACTTTGATATTTGACAGTGATCAGATCATGCAAATAATCTGAAGTTATAGCTACTTTGATGTTTGACAGCAATCAGATCATGCAAATAATCTGGAGCCATACCATTTAAATGTTTATATACCAGGAAAATTTTAAATTCAATTCGAAACATAACAGGTAGCCAGTAAAGCCTACATGAAACAGGTGATATAAGACAATGTCCCTGGGTTTTAGTAACCAGCCCAGCAGCAGCAGCATTTTGGATTCTCTGCAGCTTAGACAACTGGCATGCAGGGAGACCATATTATAGACTATTACAACAGTCTAAATGACTTGTGACAAAAGCATGAATTGAAGTGTTGACAGACTTGTCTGATAAATATTTACTATCTAATATTATGTATTGAAGTAGTAAAAACCGGAAAAACAAAGTTTAGAAATCTGAACCGACATATATAGCCAAATTGGAGTTTATCAAACACCAAGATTTTTCAGGTTGGGAACAGACACACAGTTCACTTGGCCTACCCTCACATGCGTTAATGTTTGCAAGCTAATGTCTAGCACCAAGAATAATAAATTCCATCTAATTATCACTTAACATTAGTTGTCATGAAGAGTCCAGGCCCTGATATCAGTTACACATTTTTCCATAGACGATATTGCAGCAACTTGCTCAGTTAACTTTCAAGGTTTAAAAGAGACATACAATTGTGTGTCATCTGTACAACAATGCACATCAGGTAAATGTGACTGAATAACATCGAATAAAGCAGATAAGTACATGATAAATACCAAAGGTCCTAAACAGGAACCCCGAAGGACACCACGAATAACATCAAACTTATCAGACCGAGTGCTGTGTATGCAGACACGTTGAGTACATCCAGATAAATATGGAAAAAAAACAATCTAGAGCTGAGCCCAAAATAACAAATCTGGAATGAATACGATTCAATAAAATATCATGATCAACAATATCAAAAGCAGCTGTAAGATCAAGTAAAACAAGGACAATTACATGCTGAGAATTTATTTTCAACAAAATCGTTGCTCAATTTAAGGTGCTGTGATTTTTCCAGTATGCAGACTGACAAGCGGGATACAGATTATTGACAATCATATGAGCATTAAAAGTAACATTCTCAAATCAGATTTGAAACAAAAAAGAGATTACTAATTTGCTCATAATTTTCAAATTTAGTAGCGTCAAGATTAGTTTTCTTCAGTAATGGAATAATGAACGACTCTTTCCAGCCAGTTGAAAAGGTCCCAGAGATTAATGAAGCATTGATTATAGTGATAACTAGCAAAAAACATCCAGGCCGTTAATAACAACTAATGTGGGGACAGGATTAAGGGAACACGATTTAAGTGTACAATAAGTTTCTTGACTTCCCTTTCAGTGACAGGAGAAAAACAATCTAACTGAAAATCCACGGGGGGGGGGTATTGTTCACAAAACCTGCAGGAAGCTCTTCCAAACTGGATTACTGATGATAGAGTTCAACATGGATTTTACCAACCTTTGACAAAAAAAAGTTTCCCATGCTATTTGCAAAATTAAATCCACCATCAGAAGAAGGTATGGAGGGTCTAACCTTTATGCAGAAAGTGCAATGTTCTAATTAAATGCTCATAATTTTAGGTGGACATAAAAATAAAGCACAAGGATTATTTTGCAGTAATTATGATTTAATGGAGGAAATAATTAAAAAAATTAAAAGTTGTGGTGTTTGTGTCAGTCACAAACGATTAGTAATTGTACATGTATAGGGCATTTACCCAAGAGTACATTTAAGAGTCAGTGTAAGGGCTTTTTATACAGATGAGTGGTGACAGAACACAGCAAACATGCAGTCCATGTTCAGCATGCACGGAGTTGAGCAGCAGCAACTCTTTCAAGAACCCTGGTAATGAACATTACGTTGGCGATTGGTTGATTGATTTTTAGCTTGTTGGGGTCCAGTTTGGTTTCTTGAGTAGTGGAATATGAGATGTTTTGTACATGTAGATTGTGGGAACGACACTGCAGGACAAAGGTTAAATCTACTTTGAGAATGGTAAGGCACAACCTGTGTGTCTTACAGCCCTTTTGCTTTTTATGAGTTTGTAATGCAATGTGTTAAATCAGTTAGACCAGATCAATGCTGATCAGAGTAGATTTATTGTAATCAAAAGTAAAATCTCCTCAATCAAATCTGCCCCGCAAAAACAGTCCAATCTAACTTTTGACTTAGGGTTTTAAGACCATCTGACTGCTTTTTTAAATTGGAGATTTTAATCACAACCCTCTCATTCTCCTCAAGATAATGATCCAAGCACACTGAGCACTTCGTATGAATCCCATATTGTGTGTGCCTCTGGTTAATGGCTGATTGTTGTACAGGGTGTCCCAGAAAAAACCAAACCTGATTCATTGGTTTATCCAAAGTGTTACAACTGAGTTCTGATCGCCCATTTTCAAGACAATGGTGTTCAGTCATGCATGGATACCATCAAGGTATCATTAGATCATTCACCCCTTTCCTCAGGGTTTGGTTTTTTTCTGGGACACCCTGTATATTAGCTTGACCATTTTCGGCGACTGGGGGGCATGGAATGTTGTTTTCATTGTGCAACTATCTTGTATGACTGTAAACAATTTCAGGTTCTGAGTCTGCCTTCAAGTACAACAAAATGTATGTATCACCCTAATTTTCCCTTGAAAGAAAATACCTCTTTCCTCTGGTCCTCATTTTCTTGTCATTAAATCCATAGTACACTGGTTTTTGGATGGCAATCTATCTAAAATAGAACCCAAATGTCAAAACATATTAAACATTTCAGTATTCCCTTAATGGAAAATGTTCGAGACAGAGTTTGACAATCCAAGTTGGGATAGGATCCAAAGAACATGACTTTGAGGAATTCTCCCTGGTAACCGTTCTGAGAACCTCTTGGGAAAGGTTCAATTAGGTCCCTTCCATCCAAATGAGATGCACAAGTTTACAAATGAGGTCCCAATGGCCCAGTCTTCTGCTGGAAGAGTTTAAATCTGATTCAACAGTATTTCAGTATTGATGATCATGTAAGATTAGTGATGATGACAGACATCAATTTATTGACAAGCTTGAAGAGCTACTTTGAGTTGGATTGACCAATATCAGCCATGAGGCATTACGATTTTCCAAAGGTAATTCTACTGTAGACAGTGCAATGATCTCTGTAAAGTTGCCTGTCAATATTAAGACCAATTGGGCCCAATATCCTACAGCTACTTTGCAGTGAATGCTGCTTAGCAAATTCATCTGCTGAGCAAAAGTCAATGTGGCACCAATCACAAGAAATGTACAGTACATGACATTTTGGTTGGTAACCTGATTTTGCTGACATTATTGTGCTTACCTCTTGGCCCCAGATTTGATCACCAAGTGCTGCAGACGTCACTTGAAACATTTGGTATTATCAACCTCCTCCACTTACAAAGGTGCATGAAGTCTGACAGTAACATCCACAATCTTTTGAGGGGTGTGCTTGTGTCAAGAAACTTATATTACACAGCACAGTACTGCTCCTCTATTAAACCAAGAAGCATTCATAGCTGTTGAGTTGACCAGGGACAAGTTGAGAATATTTTGGTAAAATCCACGATAATTGATAGCTTGAAGCTTTAAATAGACTTTGCACTTCAAGGCCAATGTTGAACAATGTTGGATAGCACAGTGAGTGATCCAATGGTAACCTATTGTGATTTAAGTGTTACAAACAAGATGACACAGCTTCAGTGAGATGACAGAATTGAGAGTATGACCTGCTCTTTGTGTTGGTACACTTGGTGCTGTTCCAAAGTCACAAGTACCCAGCAACTCAAGGAAATAACTTGCTTTCTTTATAGACTTTATCATAAACTCAGACACTGAAATCTCCGGTTATGACATGCGCCAGAAAAATCCAATAAACTCTGTCGGTTCAAATGACTGAAATCTGCAGTTCGTTTTCAAAGTCATTTCACAAAATAATTTTAAATAAACAATTTTCTTTATGTGGAACCAGAGGGCACCCTTTTATGAGGCCATTTCATCAAACTTTTTATTTTGTTTGGCTATCCTGCAAAATGTCTTAGTTTAATTAGTTGTTGTACAAAAACTAAATGTTTATGAGTGTAACGGTAAGAACGTTATTAGTGACAGGTGACAGATGAAGCCGAGTGGAATGGAGCATTTCATCCATCACCGAATTGAAATTATTTTTACCATTGCACAAATGTGAAATATTCATTATTTGTTTTATACAATACCTGCATAAATCCTCTTCTGTTAGAGCAAACAGGTTCCACTCATGTATTAATTTTCGTCATTTTGCCCAACAGATTCATATTTGATCGCTACCCACTGGCAATACCAAGCAAGTTAGACTAGTTTCCATCCCTCGTAGTTTCCTCTTTTTTTATACTAAGAATGAAATATGTATGAAATGGGGCAGCAGGATCCAGTCAAGTGAAATGAAGTTCTATTCAATGGGTAAAGTTAAATACCACTGAATGAAACCTCCATCATCAGGTCCTAACGTTTGTCTTTGGTATGTCCACAATGCATTGGGGAACATCAACCGCACAACAGCTGGTGGTCAAGTTAATATTTCAGGAAGGATAGTGAGAACATTCTCTAAGGAACTTCAGACACATATTATCAAATATTTTGTACTTTGTCACTCAAATGGTGGACTGTGCCTGAACAGTCATTTTACAAAGCTGACTGAAGGCTTCACGGTCAAATGGATTTTTGCAATATTCAACCCAAACTGGACACCTAGCAATATGGAACCAGAAAAATTTTTGTCAACTACTCACTGCCTAATTAATATCTTTAATACAAAATGTGCGTGTTAATGCTGAAATTAATGCACTGTCCACAATGTTTATCTCATATGTTTCGTTGACTGGTAATTACATGTACTTCAAGTTTTTCTTTTTATATAAGCTTTCCAACCACATGTACGTGTAATTGCCATTTTAAGGATAAAGTATACTGAAATGAACTGAGCTGAGCTCAATTGAGCTGAGCCAAGCTGAGGAGAGCTGAGCTGAACTGTACATGATCATATTGATCACACTCTAGCAATTAATTAGCTGTTAGAGGTCGGTATTGGTCCACAGTTCATCTCATTGGTCAGAGACTTTCAGACATCTTGTCAGTGCAGAGTATGGTACCAACCAAATGAGTCTGATTGGTCCATTCTTCATTCTGATGTACCGCAAGGCATACATCTAGGGCTGATCCTTTTTTAGTAAAGATCAATTAACGTCTTCTCCACATGGTATGAATGCCTACAAACATACAGTAAACTCCGGCTAAGCACTCTCGGGACTCAAGAAATTATGACGACTTACACATGTATTGCCTATGTACATTATGATTCCTTGCACTAACTCAATGGCTTTGATTTCCCCTGGTTTATTTCTACCTCCATGGTTGATCCCAGCAAATTAAATTTGTTCTCGATTATCATCCTGCAAATTCAATAATTGATCGTGTGCCCCTAAGGACGAAGTAAGGACAGCAAACCACTTGCATATTACGACTTGACAGTGCAGTACGTAGGTACATGTACAGTACGTGATACAGTTTCAGTACAGAAAACATACACTCTTACACACGTGCATTGGTTAAGTTCGTTCCATATAGTCTGGATACAAGACCCTATGGTTAAGATTACCTGACGAATCATTATCAAGGGTGGTCCGGGAATCTTTGGGCAGGGAACCAGACTACGTTCAATAAGGTGACCCCCAAAATGGACAGAGCGCATGCATGTAGCACTAGAGTGGTTACTGGTATTGATGTACTCGTGCTGGCCACTCGCGCACGGGACTTGAAACTTCTTGGCAACTGTGGCCAAGGAAACTGATACCGTAGCACGATTTTTTTAAATGCCGACTTACACAAAGGAATTTTTGTGGTTTTGTGGAAAAGGGACTGAGAACAACTTGCCCACATATATGAAATGACAACTTATAAATGCCGACTTAGAAATGACATTTTCAATGGAAATGCATTACAGGCGATCAGGACTTTTGTCAAACGGCCGACTTGGACGATATGACGGGTTACACGACGTCAACTTAGTCGGAGTTTACTGTATCAACGACATACATGTAACCCTTGTCAAGTGCCAATCTCAAAACCAATCATCACGCAGGTAGTCTGTTTCCTCTGCAGCACAGTACTCAGGAAACAATAACATGAAAATACATGTACATCCAATTAAATGTTTAGAAGTGGAAGTAACATTTCAGCAGACCCCCTCCCTACCTTTGTTCTGCATGATCAATTGGAAATATTTCAATTATTCAAACTCCTCAGCACATTTATTGCAGGACAATTTCATAAAGGGCATACATATATCAGACCTCATCAAACATGCAGGTAAAAGACTGCACATGATTTGTCTCCTCAACAGCCATTCTGTCCAGAATTTACTTGTTGTTTACATGCTACACCAGACTGATTATTGATTAGGGTGCTCTCGTACAGGATGCAAGTTTAACCACTGCTGAGTCTGACCATCTCAAAAGCATCCAAAAATGAGCTCTTCAAATAATTGTCGAATGAGTTAGTTATAACAGTTATTCTAAAATGCTGTGTGTTCTGGGTTTCCACTTTGAAAAAAAAGAGGGGGATCCCTCCGTATATCCAAAAGGAAAAAAAAAATTGAATTTTTGAAATAAACTAATCACTTTAACGATTTCATCCCTCCCTCCTCCCAACAATAAAGAACCCTTAATCATTCAAATAAACTTCTGCAACTCCAATGCAAAACAAATAGAATTCTGCCTCTGGTACGTTTGTATAATTCTAAATGAATTTAATGTAATTTTTACTAGCTGTTTTTTTTACCATTTTTTTTATATTAATGATTAGTTGATATGTATGTTTTGAAATAATGTTTAACCTTTGTTTTTTAAGATAAATATAATGCAACAAATACATACATTGTGCGATACATACATTGTAACTTTAAAGCGAAATGATTTTTTGGTTCAGATATCTTTTCTAAAATGTATACTGGTGCATTTTTTTATTCACAATGCCCAACTGTGGTATGTGGATCATGCACCATTCAGCTGTTGCTGCACTTTGTGATATTTTCAACAAACTATGTTGAACAAATTGATACATGAAGACACGATCATGATGTCATACTAGTATGCAAATCTTGGATTGCTGTTCTTACAAATTTCAACTTGATATGCTGTAGCATCTTGAAGAAAAGTAGTAAACAAAGGATATGGAAACAGCAAAGAGAAAATAAAGGAGCATGGCTTAAGGAAATTTTGTACACGCATCAAATATACGACTACACACTGCAAGAAATGGCCTAATACATCTGTAAATATACATGTATATGTCCAAGGTTTTGAATAATGTCTGCCATTACTGTTGGCACTGCTGCCACTTTTGCTGCTGTCATTGCCATTGCCCAATACTTCTACTTCTGCTGCTATCAATGACTTTGTAGCAGCTTGGATCTCTTTTATTCTCTTCGACAGCTTACGTAATAGGAGTGATCAACTGTGACCCTATTTCTCTTTAAACAGACTCGCAAGCATCTCCCTCCCATTCATGCGTTCGGTTGTAATGCACTCATCTCTCATTCCTGCGTTACCAGATTGCTGCAAGGTTGCTTGACATCTACATGTACGTATATTCTTGGTGATCCTTTAGCTTTGTTTCTTTGTGATAGTATTAGTTGCTTCGTTGCTGTAATGAACTAGGTTTGGCAGTAGCATACAGCTAATAGGTGAGCTACAGTGATGTTGCCAATATTTTATTTAATTCGTAACCCAGGCGGATTACTTTATTTTTTCCTTGAACACAAGTTTCGTTTACCTTTTTTTTTTCGGAAAGAAGATTATTGCCAACAAGAAAAAAACCATTACAACGAAAGACTTTTTGAATTTCTATTTATTTTCTAAGGCAAAGCAGCTATTGGGGCAAAGTAACCATTAAACGATCAGCACTCGCTAAAACTTTGCCTCTGCCAAATGATGATACTTATGGTGCCGTGACTGCCATTGCCACTACCCAATACTTCTACTTCTACTGCTATCACTGACATTGCCATGGCCAAATGATGAAACTTCTGCTCCTGTCACTGCCATAGCAACTGCTGCTGCTTCTGCTACTTGCTTACATTGCCACCATCTACCGCTGTTATGTCTAATGTTATTACTGTAATCACCACTGTCTTCTCTTGGTCCCTCACTGCTGTAACTGTCACCATGCTGCTGGCATTGCCACTATTTCTGTTACCACTTCCACTACTGCTGCTTCAGATGGTTATTACTGCAACTGACTATGCTTATGGCCATTACCACTGTCTCTGCTGCTATAACACCTGTAACCACTCCCCACTGCTATCTCTGCTCACACTTCTAGCAGTAATGTAAATGCTGCTAGTAACAGTAATTAAATTTGGAAGAATATCCTGTGGGGGTGCTTGTTGGTTTGGAGGAGGAAGCAAAAATGGGTGAGAAAACAAGGTCACATTCATAAAAGCCATAAATGTAGCTTTGTTGCTTTCACTGCACTATGACTGAGAAAAATAGATTGTGTCGTATAAGTGTACCTTTTGATCAGGCCGAGTCTGTTCAGATACTGCTGGCATGTTCCCTGTGTTGCTCCTTGTTTACTTGCACTATTGCTCAGTTTCCCTCGCAGTTGTACAAGAAATTCCAAGGACCATCCACGAATCCTCATTTGAATGATGCTAGCCTGCTCAGACTTACTACATCCTAAGAATAAATGCTCTAACTGGTAGCTAAAGTCCAAGATCTGTAAAACAAAAGCAAGTATATGTATTCAAATGCTACACACTGTCAATGATGATGGAATTCCTCAAGTAAATGTAGTGAATTCAGAAAAGGAGTTTATTTTAAATTCATGTTTTACTCTAACTGGCCGCTTTTTATCCATTTTTTTCAGAGTATATTTGGGACAAATATGAAGGCATCTATTTGATCCACTGTTAAAATATTTTCAAAATACAAGGGAAAAATAGGAAAGATAAAGGAGATGCAACAAGACACAGCTAAACCTGTCACAAGGACAGATTTCTGATATTTACATGTACGTTCATACTTAAATATATATTCATCAATTGCTTTAAATATTAATTCAAAGATTGCAATTACTACTCTCACAATATGGATAATGTCAGTAACTTACTTGGGTTGCTGCTGCCAACATCGTATCAGCACTCTGTTGTGGACACAAAGGAGCTGGTATATTCCATCGGTCTTCACTCAATGCCTGAACATAAAATAAAAGTAACTCATGAAACAGCTGAACACAGCATGATTCAATCACTGGAAGTCTGACAACTTAACACTCTCAAAAGACTGCAACATCTAGGGAAGTAGGTTTATGTCAATTAACATAAGCTTTCAAAAGCCAGTAGTATCTTCTACAGGTAGAGGGCCTCCTGAATACTGTTGTTAGCAATAGCAGAGATTCAAGTCAACAACTGGGGACAGATGATAAAATCAACTGGCATTGGAAGAAATTTTAGAAGCAGCGCCAGTAACATTAAACAAAAAAGGTATTCCATACACTGTTATTTATTATTCAACAAATGTAATAGAGTTTAAATGGTTCGTTATTCTAGTTTCTAAAAACCCTAGAAACCAGTTAACTTCTGAAACAACCCATCTAACAGAATGAGCTCAAACTTCCCACAATTGAATAATTCATTATCTTCACGAAGATTTTTATGTGGTTGGAAGGGTAAAGCATACAAATATATCAACAGCAAACTAATAACCATTAACTGGTACAAGGGGACCATTTCTCTTTTCTCCTTTATATTTCAATTTTTTTGGAGGGGAGGGGGAAAAAAAAGTCTTGCCCTCCTCCTTTGTGACGCCTATGTGAATGATATCCCACCATGTCAAAGACAAGCCAGTGGATTGAGTCCTCACGACCTCTGATACACATTGACATAAACAAAAGTACACACTATACTATACATACAGGAACTGCATTCTTCACATAAATGTACAGTAAATCGAAGCAATTTGGAACTACGCCAATGGACCCTTCTGGTCAAACTGTGAGCATTGACCAACTGGAAGATTTAGATATGTTTTCATGAAGTGGCTGCAGAAACTGAAAACAGTTGCTAACAGTCTTTGTTGGCCATTAGCTTAGTCAAAACTCGGTCATATGCTGAATAAAAACCTTCCACAAATGGATGGCTACAACATAACTGTACATCAAATTGTAAGTTGAATGTGACTTGTTTGTATGTTTGTAAACAACTTGGTTAACTATGTTGTTACAGTACATATAATTCAGACACTAGGTATCTGGACCCACAGTATGAAGTGCATTTTTGACCTTTCCAAAGCCAAAATCAAACCCTGAAAAATGTTTTAGATGAAGTGCCTGGGCATCCCAATGAAGACTGATAAGTATTTGTGTCCTAGGGTAGGATTTCATTTTATTTGCAAACGCCAAGCATAAAGTACATTCTTGGACTGCAGTTTATTATTACATAAAATTTGAGCCATGTCCATTTTCTGACAATAATTTTGTGTTCTTAGTAAAAAGTAATTATAGTATACATTCTGTGGCCTAACTTACGGCCCATCAAGATGTTGTGGGCCTGTTTTCATGTCAGCTAGTAAGAAGATGTCATTTCTAAATGACATCACTTGGACTCATGTATTGCTGTTAAAAAATATCTACACAAATTCTTTTGCTTTTCATGGCATATGGAACTCCTAAGGGCCCCCCAAATAATAGCTGTGCTTCTGGTTACCCACTCCAACCTGGCAGTCGCACTGACCTTAAAGCTTTTTATTGAAAAACAAATAAAAATTAAAAAATACTGTTGCCAACCTTCATACCTATTTGGGGTGTGAAACCTCCGTTTTCTTGTTTCATTTTCCGCTTTTTTTTTTATCAACAGACTGGATTTTCCTCATTTTTCTTCGTGCGTAAGCACCACTTTTTCCGGTTTTTTTTAATAATGAAAATAATTATAATAAAAACTCATACTCATAATTCAGGAGCAGCCAATGATGGTAAATGCCCTGTCAAGGAGTGTGGGTAGCATTTTACCATTACATTAGGGTAACTTAACAAAGGACCACTGCTTGCTGACCTGAAATGATATCTAGACTCCTTCTTAATGATGGCAAGATTCATTAAGTATCTAGAAGCATAACCATGGATGGCTTTGTATGTTAACAGGATGATTTTGAAGTTACTCCTGTACATTGCAGGTAACCAGTGAAGGTGATACAGTATTGGTGTTACGGTGCTGAAACTTGGGTGTATTCATAAGAACTTAGTCTAGCTGCAGCATTCTAGACTCGCTGTAATCTCATTATCTGTTCTGCTGACAAACCATACAAAAGACTATTACAATAGTCCAGATGGCTGGTCACAAATGCGTAAATTAACACTGAAAGCGAATCGGGAGAAAGGAATTTACTAATGCACCAAAGATTGTGAAGGTGGAAAAGTGTTGCACAACAAGATCAAATTTCTCTGACAGAGAACCATGAATAGAAATAAGCTGCCTCCTGTCAGAAAGATGAAAAACAGGCCAGAGCTTTGCCAGATATCCCAACTTTAAATTCTAAACATTGCAACAGGATGGTGTGGATTAACTGTATCATATGCAACACTTCAGTCCAAGTGAACAAGCAAAATGACATGCTGTGAGTTCATTTTCAGCAGTATATCACTCTTGACCTTCAGGAAAGCCATCTCAGTGCTATGATACTTTTGGTAAGACGATTGAAAATCTGGAAACAGAGAGTGTCGACACATGTGGGAGTAAAGCTGATTACACACAGTTCTCTCAGTCAATTTAGAAATGAACTGTAGATTACTATAGGTTGACAATTTTCTAAAATCCGATCGAGGCTATCTGGAGGGGTTGAATCCTTGGGTCTTCAGCAACACGTAAACAACCCTACACACGAGATGTGTCACATATTAGATCTAGTTATTACACGTACCTGTCAATCAGAAACTGTTTTGGAAACCCTATAGTGGCACCAGTGTACATGACCTTCCAGATTTATTACACGATATTGTGGCGCATTGCCGCGGCTATCCAGGTAAACCTACATGTAGGTGGTGAGTCCGTATGCCACCAACACGTGCTGCTCAGTCTCTCTTCAGGACGGACACTTAAGGACAGACTTCAGGGGCGGACATGAAGGGACTGACTGGACAGACAGACAGAGAAGTAGTGGACACTGACACCTTTAATTATCAGCTTCAAAAAACAATCACAAGGTTTTTAATTACTGATCTCTTTCTTATTATCAAGAAACTCCTTAATCAAATAAATAATCAAAGGGCGGCACCTTCGTAGAGGGCAGGACTGTAAAAAACAGCCAGAACTCCTGGCCAACAGTGCAACTAGAAGAACTCCCGGGATCCCCAGCCCGCACAAAGACCAAATTCCCCCAGGAAATAACCATCAGGTCCCCAGTACGTCCCCAGCTTCCGATCCCGTATCGTGCATCACTTATGTCCGGTTCATCCCCGTTCACTCTAGACACAGAGCAGAGATCCAGACACACGTCTTTCCTCCACGATGCGCCATGATCATCTCCCCGTACTCACACAGTCCGCCGACTGGGAGCACTGCGTAACGACTACTAGCTCTGCAAACTCGCTGCAAGCACGCTTTTGCGCTACAATATGCAAGACCCCCCACCCTTCATAATTATGGTTCATTTAGGTACTAATGATTTGAGTCAAGTTGATTTCCTCTCAATACAACAGAGAGTTGTTTTTTCATGCATATCTGGTGAGAGCTTTACTCCAAGAATGTTTGCTCCGGTCCAAAATCTTGCCTAGGGCATTTTACGTTTGGGCTAACCCCCAGGAGGCAATGGACAGAGGACTGCTGTCAACTGGCGGGCTTCTTCTCGTTGCCAAAGGCTTGGTGTCTTTTTAATATTAAGGCACAACCAATTTCACAGGACGTTTTTCAACCTTTATAGGCCTGATGGTATCCATTTGTCTCCGGAAGGAATACATTTTTCAGAGGGAACCTTTGCACTGCCATTAGGCAGTCTTTACTGCCTATGGTAGTGTAATGGTTTATGATCGGGGTGTTTTCTTCCTTGGGCCACGCCGTCATTTTATGGGAGATTACACTGCCAAGGTTTGTGGGATTCGGAAAATTTTCCAAAATCTGGCACCATGGGAATTTTCAAACGCTTCAACAATTACTTGCATTTCAAGTTTTTCATGGTAAAGGAGGAATTCATGTCAGGCTAAGGGCTGCATTGTTTAGGTTTTTTCAGTTCTGAGCAAATGTTTGTAATATGTGACAAAGTTGGCCTACTTTTTCCACCACAGTTTGCTTTGATTCTTGAAGATTAAACCGCGACGTTGGTCCAGCGGAAGATTTTTTTGGAAGACGTAAACACTCCAAGCAATGAGTTACTAATTTGTGTCGATCCTTCAGATATTACAGTTGAGTTTCCAAAAAGAAATACGGGGTAATCAGCGACAAGAAATTTCATTGCGAGGAATTTGGCGTCTGGGAAAAACTCTGACGTAGTTTTCATCGCGCACAATGTAGCACCCAAATGCTCAGCATGTTAAGGAGTAACAATTGGCAGGAAGCCAACAGTGGGCCATCTGCATCATGCTGCAGACGAATGGGTCGGATTACTACACATTGTGCACAGCGCCGCTATGATTTTGCAAAGCAGGTGGGCCATGTCTCGTCATGGACTTCAATTTTTGGCGATGAAAATAAAGTCACATGGTTTAGGTTCCTTTATTTAGTATAAAACCACACATTTCTTCAAGAATCGACAGATCATTTTATATGGAAGTCTTTTGGAATCACTGGACTGTTCCTGGAATCGGATCTCAAGGTTATGGAATTGGCGGTAGTGTGGATTTGATTCCTCAAAAAAGTGGAATCACGACTCCGATTCCCAATTTGGAATCGATTCTACCCAATTCCAGCATGGATTCATTCAAGCCTGGAGAGGAATGCCATAAACATGGTGCACAGACCATGTCGTGAGCCTGAGTCAAGTTTAGCAAGAGTACACATGACAAAACACTTGTCCTTGTCTTTAAATGGAGACTTTTCTGTGGGCTTGTGAGCATTGGAGGAAAGTTTATCTTTAGCCTCTGTTGGAATCTCAGAAGTTGTCAAAGTCCTCCCTAGCAAACTGGAAATAAGTCAAGGCTCTGGGTGGGTAAGGACGCCATAGTTTGGCACCACCGAGAACTTTAAAGATCTTGACCCATGAGTGGGA